CATCTGGATTGCAGTAGAATGACCATCTATGCACACACAAAAAAAAAGTAAAACGCCATCTCGAAGCGGTATCGCACAGCATATGAGTGGAAACAAGAACAAAGGAAACTAGTTGGTATGGCAAAGACAATGTGCGGCTCTGGTTCAGATGCCGTGTTCCACGGATATTTCAACAGAAAAGACAGAACCAACGACAGCCGGAAGTCGCGACGACGAAGAAGAAGTTACAGGGAAGATGAGCGAGTGACATTCATGTACGTATGTACGTATGCGACTTCTAGCGCAGAATGAATTCCTAAGGAGAAAAGTGCGTGCAACCTTTGCAAGATAGCGATGTCGATGTCGATGCCGGGCGGCGGGCGACAGACATGAAATAAATGTGGAAGGAGAAGAGACTATTCGGCATCCATATCATCATCAAGATCAATAGCGTCCGGATTGACGGGCGCAGAGGGCTGCGGCTGCTGCTGACCCGGTGGAGGCGGACGGTTGCCGCCCTCCGGTCCGGTGCTGGCAGCGACGAAGCCCACGGGGGCGCGAGCTTGCCGTTCCAGAGCTGCCATGGCGTCTGCGCGCTCCTTGGAGCCATCCATGTCTGCTTCCTCGTCCTCCCTTTCCTTGCCGCCTTGCTGGGCGCGTTGCTGGCTGCGGGCGATTGCTTGGGAAGCAATGAAGTTGACATCGGTGCTGTTTCAATACATATTAGCGTATTTTCAATTGCCATGAGTTCGTCAGGATCCACATACTTGTACTGCGCCTGAACACTTCTCTTGATACGAAGCATCTCCTTGAAGGTATCTTCGTTTCCGTGTTGGACCTCGAATGCCTCCCATTTCTGCCAGAAGCCGGCGTTGGTACGGGGGTCGCAGAACTGAGAAGCATGGCCGTAGATCGCACGTGCGCGATCGATTTCGCCAAGTCTCCTCTCCATCTCTGCGAACTTGAGGCACATCTCTTTGGCTTCCTGGTCTGGCAGGGCCGCAATGGCGCGTTCGTAGATAGGCCTCGTGGATGTCAAGCCAAAGTTGGAGGCAGACTTGGTGATGTAGAACTCAAACATTTCAAATCTGTCCTCGTCGGAAACTGCCCGTGTTGCACGCTCATAGATTCTCATTGCGTGTCGGGCCAAGCCGCGTTCTTCTTCAAGATTGCCGTACATCAGATACAATGGCTTCGCGAACTTCGGGGGACATCCGTCGAGAGCCTGTTCGAAGAGGTCTCTCAATCTTTCAATACCAATCTTCCGATCCACTGCCTTGGTGAGATAAAGGTTCCAGAGCTCGAAAGCGACCGGATAGCTGAAGAGATCCAGGCCTCTTTCGTAGATTTTAAAGGAATCCTCAAAGTATTTATGCTCTTCCAATAGGTTGGCATAGTTGACCACAGTCTGGGGTGTTGCGATGCGTAGTTCAAAAATCCTCTCATATACCTTCCTCGTCTCTTCCAAGGTTGCAACACTTTCGACCAGATCCACATAGAAACTCCAAAGCTTCCAACTCTTGTGAACGCGTTGCTGAGGTGAGAGATTTTCGTCGAAATAGTCCACCGTAGATTTCTTCGGCGCCTGCGTAGCTTTGGCCATGATATCAACGGCCTTATCGAAATTCTCACTTCGAAGTTCCATCTCGGCCCATTCGCACCATGTCTCTGCTAATTCGGCCACAGACTTGAAGGGAACCTTGACAGCCTTGTCAAAAATGACTCGAGCAGTGTCCAAATCTCCACCACTCTCGTAGAACTTGGCGTAGTTGACCCAGAGTTCAGAAAACTTGCCGTGAGCCTTCTTCGGGTTGATAGCAGCGATGGCGGCCGTGTAAGTGTTGACTATTTCTTCTTTGTTGTCACCCCACAGAGCTACCCTCTTCTCCCATTCAATGACATTGTTGGGATTTTGCCTTAGCAAGACATCGTTGACGAGGAACGGCCTGCGATCCATAAGTTGTTCAAATCTCAGCATTCGTAGATCAAGGTCAAAATCAGCGTCTTCGTCGAGACTTCCTTTATCAGCCCGGAGCGCCGCAGCCTCCATCAAGCTTCCAATGATCGATTCTTCGAATTCGACATAGGAGTCGAATATCAGGGTGAAGTCGCGGACGGTCATGACAGTGGTAATACCTTCTTCAAAGACATCGCGTGCTTTCTCGAAATTACCCTTCGTGATCCAATACGTCGCCAACCCAGCCCAGAGCTTCCCTCTCTGATCCGCAAACCGATCAATTCCACTCCGAAGGATGGCGTCAACGTCAATGCCGACTTGCGGACCGGTCTGGATCTGTTTTGCCTTAGAGACGAGCAGGTCTACCATCTCAGTCCATATCTGAAAGTTACTCTTTCCTTGCTTCGACTGAAATCTCGGGTTGTCAAGGATTTCCATGTAGCGCTTGACAGCTTCGGTGTATTGACCCAGTTCAACGAGCAATTCGATATATTCTTCGGCATTTTCCGGGTGTATTTGCATATAACGGGCCCATATCTTCACAGCTGTTTGTCCAGATGCTGAGCGCGCAAAGGCTTTGTATAATTTCCAGATCCGGTTGTGCTGGGTGATCGGCAGAGCTCGAAGCGCGCGGTCGAATGTCCTCCGAGTCTTTGTCACCAATGGTTGTTGTAGCAAGAAAGAGAGGTACATCTCCCAAATTTTTGGCATTTTATTCAGCAGTATGAGGGCCCGTTCGAAGAGCGCGTTCACCTTCTGATATTCGCCGCGGTATTTTGTCGCATTACGACCCCGAAGGTGGTTCATTCGAAACTCCAGATACTATGAACAGTCAGCAAAATCATTTACTGCTATCTTCCAAAAATTTATGTGAAGACAGGGAAAGAAAAAAAAAAAAATTCTGGGTTGACATACCATTTTCCAAAGTTTGTATGATCTGGGAAGCTGCTTACAGGCACGCTCCATAACCTAAAATAGTCTATTAGCATGTAATCGCAAAGTAGATGGGGGAGAAATCCTACAAAGGCCTGCTCGTAGAGGGTCCCATTCTGCTGTTTATACTCAATGTAGGCAAGCCATGGTTTGATGCTGCCAGGAGCCCGAAGAAGATCCTGTTCATAGACAGTATCCTGATCGGCCTATGAGCAAGTACTGTGTCAGCCTCCGCGAGTGCAATGCTCAATTCATGCTTGTCACTCACAATCAGGTAAAGATCTGGCCCTGAGGCAGACGTTCGGTCCATCTGTGCGTGTTGCCGGTGAGATCTCGGGGGCAGGAGTGTCCCTGGCATTTCGCCACTCATTCGAGCGGGACCAGCTCACACGGTCAACACAGGGTCAGAAAAAGGGAGAGTCGCATGAACGGGAGAGCTTTTTGTGGTCCTCGTCGCGTTGACCAGCAAACGATCAAGCGCCGCAGAAGGTGAAGTTGGACGGGAGCACGTGATCTTCTGTCATGCCGCAGCCAGGCGGGCACGGGTGGCCCAAGCTTCTGCCTCTATCGCGCAGCGTATCATCGTGCCAATCAGAGGCTCAACAGCAATTGCGCTCTGCTATTCCGTGGCAGTTACGTCGAGTTGATCATTATTTCCATCTAAGCATTTCCCAGTCATGTCGGGTGCAGTGGTATGTGTCTTCTCTTTGCTTGATCCGCTTTACGATTTCGCTGATTGAGATGGGTGTCCTTATCAGGGCCGCGAGCCAGTCTTCCCGACCCGCCAGTCGCTGGGGTTGATGAAGGGTAAGCTGAAGGGTGCGGAGACAGGTCACAGCTTATTGAAACGAAAGAGTGAAGCCCTCACGAAGTATGTTTGCTATTCTTGTCTTGAAATGTACCTCCTTGCTGATGCATCCGTCCAACTGTAGGCGTTTCCGGGGTAAGACAGCTTCCCCGACAAGATAGCGCACGGCGCCGCAATTTCTCAAAGCTGATGCTGTATACTAGAGATTACCCGACGCATCGATGAAGCGAAACAGAAGATGGGACGGGTTATGCAAATCGCTGCATTCTCCCTTGCCGAAGTGAGCTACGCTGTTGGTGGGGATATCGGCTACCAAGTTCAAGAATCAGCCAAGCAAGCTCGGTTCCGAGTACGGGCTAAACAAGAGAATGTCTCCGGTGTCTTCCTACCGCAATTTGAGAGCTACACAGAGGAAGGGATCAATGACTTTGGTTTGACTGGTCTCGGAAAGGGTGGTCAACAGGTCCAGCGGTGTCGGGAGACATATGCTCGAGCAGTAGAGACATTAGTGGAACTTGCGAGTCTACAGGTACTGGATTTTTACATGTGCTGGAGCTCATCCGTCTCTAACATGCGGTATTTAGACTGCGTTCGTGATCTTAGACGAGGTGATCAAAGTTGTCAATCGGCGAGGTGAGTCCAGTCCGCTTCCACCCATGGTGGAACTGAAACGCTGACCAAGGCCATAGTGAATGCGATGTACGCTTTGCACCTTAACATAGACCAGAATCTACAGACTAACCTTCTTAATCAGTGAGCATGTCATCATTCCTCGAACGGAGAACACTATAAAATGTGGGTAGCCCCTACAAGCTCTTTCTCTCTTCGATATCTGACCAGGCCCTAGATATCAACTCGGAACTCGATGAATTGGACAGAGAGGAGTTCTACAGATTGAAGAAGGTTTCGAACAAGAAACAACGGGATAGCGCCGCCGCCGATGCCGAGATTTTAGCTGCTAGAGAAAGAGAGGCTGCGGACAAGCAGGTCGCTGAAGTCGAACCAGCGCCTGAAGCCCCAGATGTTCTGGGGGAGAAAGAAGACGCCGATGTCATTTTCTAGAGTGTCTGCGTTGTTTCTTTGAGCAGTGTATATTCCTTCAAGCATGTTTTGTTCGTCGCTTTACATTCAGTTTTCATCTATCTCATATTATGAGGGTACCCTTCAGACACAGGATGCCAGAGCGAAAGACCCCTCTGCGGATGAATACACATCATTTTCTCCATGATCAAGACCAAAATACTACATATAGAAATGAAAACAACCTTCCTAACGCCAGAACAAGTTGAACCCGATGCCCAAGGCCGCTCGAAAATGAGTAGTTCACTGTCTTTGGTAGGTGACGCGGATAGGCTTGCCATTGTCCCCCATAGGCATGTTCGAGGTAGCCTCCTTCGCACTGATAGCACCCGACTCGTTCTCGTACTCGACGAAGGCGATTCCTTTTCGGCCAGGAACCAATCTGACTTCCTGGAATCCTTCGAATCGACCAAATATAGCGGTAAGGCTCTCCTGGTCGGCGGTATCGGGCAAGTCCCGCAGGAAAAGGATCTTGTTGGGAGGAAGGTACTCGTCGGGAATGACTGCTGCTGCCGCACCGCTGGTCGGTTTGAGGCCCGCGCCCTTGACCATCTTGGCTGGACGCGCTGTGTCGGCAGGACCGGGGGGACGCTTGAGCTTCTTCTGAGCTTCCAGGGCTTCGTGGGCTTGTTTGCGCTCTACCAGGAACAAACGCAGTTAGCGAAGGACACGCCCCGATACAAAAAGAGATAGGAAAATCTTGAAAGCGAAAAGGGAAGGACAGAGAGAACGCACCCTTCTCTGCTAACCGCCTCCGCTTATGGACCTCAAGCTCTTCTGTCCCGCCCTCTTGCAGAACGGTTGCATCGCTCTTCGTCTTCGCATAGTCGAGCACCATCGGCTTGTCGAAGAGTTCAAACCCGTTGATCTCGTCGATTGCGCGGGTCGCGGATTCGACGTTGTCAAAGACAATGAACGCCTGGCCTTTGGCCTTCAGGTTGGTCTTCGCAACGATCTCCAGGATATTGCCATACTCGGAGAAGATCTCTTCCAAGGCCACTTTGAGCTGGTCGATCTTGATGCGTTCCTCTAGATTACGGACCTGTTTTTGTCAGGGATGTTAGATACGCTGTTCGCTCGTTATAACATGAGGACGAGGGGACACACATAGACACTGCGGAGGTGTAGCTCAGGTTAGCACAATGTAGCTTTCAAAGATGGGATAAGTCAGAGCGGTAATGGGCACTCACGTAGGATTAGGGGGAACAGAGGGAGTAGATGCCGGTAATGCGGCCATTGTTGCGACCACTGAGCCCTTGTCGCGAGCTTGGATGTTTCAAACTGCTGACTTCCTGTATCGACTTTCGGAACTTCATTTAATCTGGAGACAGCCTACTCATTGTCTAAAGTATTGGTTCATGAGGGTTATTCTTGCAGTTCACGGTATACAACAGCATCATTGGTCTAGTGGTAGAATTCGTCGTTGCCATCGACGAGGCCCGTGTTCGATTCACGGATGATGCAAAGATCTTCTTTTTTTTTTTTTCTACTTGGTTTACTTTCCGCTCGTTTTTAGCCGTCAAGGACTCTCGCTATGTTTCTTTCATTAATTCGCTCTCAGGGTAACTATCATCATTTGAAGGTATATCTACAGCTCCGTCAGATTATTTACAGTTCTAACATCGCCCGTAAATTCTCCACTTGACTCCTGAGTTGCTTCGGGGGTTTGGTCCAATCCTCGTCTTTCACAAGGTCGGCCCCTGTCTCCATGAATAGGTAGTCCGCTACGCTTGAACGGATCTATAGTCGGTCAGTATAGACGCCTGTGTCAAGAAGAGTTACGCTACATACCCTAGGAAACGGATGCAGGAGCATTCCAACCATCTTCTTCAGGACGTCTGCCCTTAGATGTTCCAACCGACACAGAGCCGCGTAGACTTTGATTGCAGCCTCGAGCCTTGCCATATTCGTGGACTTAAAGTGTGCCTTTTGCACAAGCACGAAGAGCTTTCGGAAACTACTTCAAAGTCAGCTGGTTTCATCCATACTCTTCCTGCCAATTGCGCACCTTGATTCAGACTTTTCATAGACTGGGGAGACATAACCATCCACGAGAAAGGCTGCAAATTCCATTGTTGGTATGGCGTAGCGGTCGTCGTGCAGATTATCGCTCAATATGACTCCAAGGTCCTTCAAAATGGCACTCGCTTCGATCTGCTGCTCCGTTTCACTGTAGCTGCTGAGGCTCTGCACAAGTGCTAGGCGAGTAGAACGGATGAGCCCTTCAGCACCCGCAACAGCAGATGTCGCCAATCCCTGAAGTAACGGTAAGCGTAGCCAATCGATCGCTTGCAACCGAAGTAACTGAAAGAAGTATTCGGTCGAAGACACATGGCTGAAATGGTCATATTTTCTGCCTCAGTCAGCATAAGTACTGCCGATTCAATCATCCTTATTCTCTCACTTCTGTAACGGTGGAAAGTCTTCGGCTGACGCCCAGAATTCCTGAAGACAAATCCAAGCTTGTAGACGGACTTTGTCCAACTTTTCTGCAGCAAGTCGACAAAGACAGCCTACTATATTCTGAGCATAGATAGAGCGGGATTCAGGACGAGATTGATGTCGAAGGAGAATCTTTGCAGCTTGAATTGCCTCCAGTCTCAGCAAGGACCCAACATCGCCTCGCCTGTCGGTTGTGTAGTCATTCAGAAATCTAATGATATGGCTCGCAATATCCTCCGTGATGGCTGCCTTGCGGTCAGCAGATTGTTTCATTTGATATATGTTTAAACTCACCGATATACGGTAAAACTCCTGTAGTCAAGCTTTTGACCGCTACTACCCTCTTTTCGATCAACTCCTCCTTATCAGCACATCGAAGCAATGTCTCAACCACAGCCTGTCTCAAACTATTGACGGGTTCAAGTTGCCTGAATACCGCCCCTAGAACCGAGATCTGTCCTCTGCCCGTTGGCAGCTTCCAGGTAGCACGAATATGCGCGAACCAATCTTGGATTGTTTCTTCCTGTTTAGATAATGATAGAAGAGGGAAGAACTCGGATACAGCTTCAGATGATGCTTCTATAGCAACATCTTCACTCCGAGATATACATAGCAAGAGGGTCTCATGTGCTCTGTCCAGCGAACCAGATGATGGCCGAGAACAAGTAGGCTCATTTCCTTGGGTAACTGATTGGGAAAGCGAACGTATCAAGCGCGATGAGGCTTCAGCTGTCAATTCCGGTCGAGAGATCTGGAGTGTTAGGTCCTCCTTGATTGGGCCGACTGGTGAGCTAAAAATGTCCCAGAGCTCGGTAACTTGGTGGGCAACAAGTTTGGCTTCAGATTGTTCCTTGCTGTCCCTCGCTGTGGCATTGTGCGCATTGAAGGCATCTACTGTGGTAGAAATAGACAGCAGACAGCCATGTCTCGCCTCGACGTCACCGCGAGGAAGACTCGACAGCTTATGCCGTAATCGGTGAAGCACTATGCTAATCGTCTTGTACGATTCGTGGATACTGAGATCTCCGATTGCTTTCGCGGCCTGTCTTCTAGACTCAGCATCAGGAGATCCCAGTCCTCGCCAGCCCAACAAAGATTCCACAAGTGGACTCCAGTAATGGTGACTTAGTACAGCGGTGGCTTTCGCAACGTCAATCATCGCTCGTGATCGTCTCGCGACTGCGTGATAATCCACCACCTGGACTAATGAAATCCCCTCGGCGATGGTGTTGGGATGGCGGCCAATCAGCTCCTGCAGAGCAGCAGACGCGCCTCTTCGAATATTCCCTGAAGGATCCATACAAGCGGCACATACTAATTCTGTTGCCAGCATCTGCAAGATGCTCTTTTCATCCTGACCCGATGGAGTGCTTATCGTTTGCGTTTTCAAGGTCAACAGTTCCTGGGTTGTGTATTTGCGAGAGATTGCCCATATTCCGAAACACGAAGCATCTCGAACGCCGGTGCCTACGGAGCTCCCTGTAGACGATCGTTGTTCGAAATCGAGACCAGAGATTAGCGGCTGCAGTACATGTGGGAGTTGATGGGTTGGAGGCGCGCGTCGAAAGAGTAAATGCCCCAGTGTGAGTATCAGGCCTTGCCACCTTTGCGCATCTACCGCATTCAAGTTTCGCTTAAGAAGATGCAACCCGATCTTTCGCGCTTCGAACGGTGTGACAATTGTGCCATCCGGCTTCTCGTGAAGTATGTTCTCTTCTAGGGAGCCAGTGACAGCCTCGATGACTTCAGACGCCATGTCCGGGTTCAACTTCAGAGTAATGATACTGAGTGCTTTGCTTGCAGCAAAGCGGACAGGTGTATCCTTGTCGGCGAGAGACACCAAAAAGTGATCGATCGAATCTTCCAGTATCGAAGAAACTTTGTCATCTGAAATTGGACTTTCTGGTCTTTCGCTAAGTGACAGTGCCATGACTGTCACAGTTCGGAGAATCTTAATGATAATCTTTCGAGCAAGAGCAGACGAACTGATGATCTCAGATACACCCGTTCGCTCCTGTGCAATATGCAGGGTGCGTTCAAAGATGGGAACGATCAAGGGTGCAAACTCATCCACCCGGCCCGAAGCGCCCAATCGTGCCAGGAAAGATAAAACGCCGATACATGTGTAGACAGAAGGAAGCTCTTCCCTTTTTCCAGGGTTCAAGACAGCAAACGCCCATTCTGTAAGATTAGTCAGGAGCCCAAGGGCTTGCATATCCCGCCGCAAAATAAGCCGCGCAAGCAGCAGAGTGGCAGCCTCCCGTTCTTTACCAGGGACATTGACATATTTCAGCGTCACCGAAAGTAAAGACTTTGTTACCATTGGCGCATGCGCCGGTAATGGCTTGATTTGACCCAGATTGTCGAACGGAACCGGGATATCATCCGAGGACAAGGACGAAAGGTCAAAGGGGGCGAGCAATAAATGCGAAAGCCAGATCAACATCACGTAGCGCTCCTCCCAAACTAATTGTCGCGGATTTTCCCCATAAGCCTCGTCCGCAGCGAGTGCATCCCACTCGATGAACGCCCGCAACATTGGATCAAGGTACTTGGGCTCATTGTTTAAAAACCGACTGATGACTTTGACCCCGCGGACCTTGCAAAAGGTGTAGAGAAGCCGACAGATGGCCCTTGGCAAGGGATACAGTACCTGCTGCTCAGCCTTGGAAGCTCTAGAGCCATATTGGTCGCGATGCTTGACCAGGTAAGCGAGGAAAGCATCCACCAGAGGAGGCAGAAGCGCCTGCAGATGCGGGTCTAGCAGCTGCGGCCATTCTTGGAAAGGCTCAAGCTGTAGAGTAACACTGTGAACAAGTCATATCAACTGTATTTAGAGTATGAATGCTCTTACAAGGCTTATAAGTCTCTCTGCTTTGGCCGCCCGTGTCCATCTTCGTGGGACTGGAATACTCTGTCCGTCCTCATTCCGCGTTTTCCAGAGCAGAGATGGCAGCTTGGCGGAGAATTCCTTGACCAAGTCACCGGAAGCTCTCTGTAACTTGATCTCCTTATCGTCACTTTCATCCATGAGGGAACTTTGCACCTTTAGTGGATTTGTGCCTTTGCGACTCTGTCAATCAACAAACAGCGGGGAGACATTGGTCAGTGTCACGTGATATATACTTCGCTTGGTAATTGGGTATCGATAGGAAGATCATGATCCCAATGGAGAAGAAAATATTGCAGAGCAATTCCGGTTCGAGTGAGAATCTCTGGAAATTTGTAAGTTCGAGCACTGTTACGGGGTAATCGATTGCTACTGGCGTATGGCTGGATCGAGTTACATGTATCTCGCCCTCTCCCTCCGAGGATAAAAGCAAATCACTGAGTTCGAGAAATATTGACCAGAGAAAGGAACTATCAGAAAAGAATCGAGATTTGACTGATTGATGTAATGGTACGTCCTAAAACATAATTGCTCAAAGATCCTGGTCCATCACCACATGTCCATCTGCATTGAATCTGCACAATCCTGCCAAATTATGCTCGGCAAGCTCCATCATGGTGTTGCGGATATGCATGACAGATATTGCCACTGCAAGCGAGTTCCACACATCTTGACCCTGCTCACTGAGGTCGAATTGGCAAATGAAGTTGCTGTCTGCAGTTCCCCGTTGACCCTTTGCGACGGAAGGGTCGGTGTTCAGGGTTAAGATGGCAACCACTGGGCCGCTGATAACAAAACCTGTAAGAAGAGGGGGGCTATTCGGTGCTTTTGAGCCACTAGCACTCTTCCTCTTAGCTCTAGTTGCAGGTGTCACAGGCTCTTTATTTGCGGATGTAAGGCCATAGACACTTCGAAATCGGTCTGCCAGCTTCTGTAAACGGCGGTTCACCTTCACCACAGCCTTGACGGTACTTTCTTCTCCCTTCCTGGCGTATATTGTATGCACGGGTATTGCCTCTGAACTGACATGTAAACCTGCATCATACACAGCCCAGCGAATGTACTTGTCAATTGCTCGTTTGATTCTGAGTTCAGGTCGACGACGCAGCAGACTGCAGTCTCTCACATGGCCGCCGAGAGAGAATAGAACGGAAAGCGACCTGATTGCTGCAACATGTTCAGCGGGCTATCAAGGGCAAATTGCATGGCTGAGCTCGAACTTACCGTAGAACTCCGAGCCTCTGATCGTATTGATCAACGGCGCCCGTTTCTCACCAGAAACAGCGAACAGGGGATTCGGGAGTGTGGAGAAGTCGTAATGCCACTGCTTGGGAAGTAAAGGTTCGAAGCCCCTCATGGCAATTCGGGAGAATAGATCTTTCTCCACTTCGCTCCAGAGACCTTTGGGCACATTGGCGGCATTTGCCCAGCGCTTCGCTCTTTCCAGGGACAGATCTGGTACACGATTGTTTGCTTCATCTTCCTGAATCGCTGGAGTATCGCCTACTCGCGCGGCAGAGTCCGAATGCCCCACCACGGCATCACAGTTTTTGCTTCTTTTTCGTAAAGACTCTACCTGACTCTGGGTATCAGCCTTGTCATTTGTACTATGTGCCAAGCGGGCTGGATAGCTTTTTCGAGAGCGTTGATGAGCTTTGGCGAGCGCGAAGAAGGCTCGGTTTCTGTCATCCGCAATCTTGTTGAGGACCTTCATCGCTTTCAACACTAAAGGGTGGTTGGGCTGTGTTTTGGCGTTAACAACCTCCCAGGGATTTTTGATGACCGCATCTCCGCCAGAGTTATCAGGCTGAGGATCTGTGAGAGCTGGAGACAATGGGACTCTTGGAGGTAGTGTTGGTTCAGTCTTCTTCCTTTTCGCGGCTCGAGAAGGTGTGTCTTTGCTGGGAGCAGGTAGATTCCCAACTCCAATATCAGAGATCGCTTTCCTTTTCGAACTTCCTTTGTCCGTAGTCCTGCCCTTGCCGCTCTTTGATGAATCCAGAAATGTGTCATGGTCTTCGTCGTCATCTTTGTCAGGAACGAAGGCAGGGTCCAAAGTTCTTCTCTTCTTTCGCCCTGAGCCCGTTGGAAGTTGTTCATCGTCATCATCTTCACCACCGTCATCCTTGCCGGGAGTATACGTCGGGTCGAGAGCTCGTTTCCTCCGACCATCTTTGGGGATCCTCAGGGAGAATTGATCGTCCTCATCCGGGCCCTCATCATCTTGATTTGGGTCATACGAAGGGTCCAGATCGCGCCTCTTGTTCGCTCCCCCGCTAGTAGCGTCTCCGGTGCTTTTTGTATTAGAGGGACTCATCAAGTCGTCGTTATGCTTCTCTTCGTCATCGACGTATTTCGGGTTTGTAACTCGTTTCCTTCGAATTCTGAACCGCGCAGCATAATCTGACATCTTTGTGGCTTGCTTTGCTGGTTTAGTGACTGTAGCTCCAGGCGTTGTGCCCATCGTTGGTAGGGTATCCCTCATATTCGTTTTACTCCAAAGTGGAATAGACTCAGCTGCGTATTCGTAATGGCTTGTCTGCCGAGGGATCAAAGTTCTGTTCGCATCTAAATCACTGATAGTCTCAAGATTTTTGCAAGAGGATAGGAAGATTTCCGAAGAATCGGAGAGAAACAGGTCCTTGCCGGGGAAGAGTGACTCGAGGGCAAGGGTGGTGGAAACCGACGCATTATGTCCATCTTCAACTCGCCCTCGAGCAGAGGACAAGACATGAGAATTGCTACTGTCTGAAAGAACGAGTGCATTCTTCAGCACCATGGTAGGATGAAAAAAAGAATAGAAGATAATTCTATCTTTAGTGTCCCCGCGGTGTCTTTCTTTGTTTGACTCGAGAAAGTGTGTTGATGATAGACAAAGAACATCGAGGGACGACGGCGCCAAAGATTAGTCTAAGAAACAAAGAGAAAGAACCAAATCTCCGAGTCTCAAAACTCTATCAGTGATCCACTTTATAATTTGTTGTCAGTGAACGTGTTGTGTCGAGGCCATTGTCGATGTCCGCATGGAATATGGCTGTGCACACGGGGCAACACAAAGAGATTTAATGAAACGCGAAGTTCCCTACGAGATGAAACGAAGGAAACCTAAGCTGATAGTGTTATGCATACGTTTCCATGTCCCGGGTGACAAAACTGGCTGGAAGTCCTGAAGCGTTGTAACACTTAATGGACCCTCCACGAAACCCTGCTTTGTCTTGCCTCTCAAACGTCAGTACCTCTCTCAAATCAAAAGGTAGTGATGAGTGAGAATCATCGAAGGGAGAGCATTGCATAGTCACATCTCACAAATGGTAAACTAGAATTCTTGAGAATTAAAGCGATTAGCCCTAAATATCTGTAAAACGAACGAGAAAGACAGAGACCCCGGGACCAAGCCGTATATTCGATCCGCACTCATAAAGCCCGTAAAAGTGCTCACACCAGCTCTGAAAACTCTCATGGGTATGTTAAGAAAAATCTCCAATGCAAAAACAAAGTGCTCAGGGCGACCAGCGATTGGTCAAGAAGTCAAAAAGCAGAGGGTTCCAAGATCTGGTTGGACGAATGAGCAATGAAGGCAATGTCACGATAGTTCTCAATCAACACCGATTGAATTAAGCAAAGTCCGCAGTGTAAGAGAAGCCGCGGAACTCCTCCTGCATAGCTTGGGAGAGGACTAAAATGAACAGCGTTAGCCTTGAAATAGCCAATACCTATGGGTGATATCTTACCTGACTGCACGGGTGTAAGTACCGGGGTCACACTCGTGAACTCTTGATCGAAGTTGCTTGTATCAGTGGGGCTGTTGATCGTGGGCAGGAAAGGCGGAGGGACACGCTTGTGATAGATATCGTCCCAGTTAATGTTCCTGAAGAAGGCATGGGACATGACTTCTTGGGCGTCTGTGGGCCCAGATCCCAATCTCAGCTCAGGTTCACGAGTGAGCAGTTTCTGTAGAATGGAGACTGAATCCCGAGGCATGTGGATTGGATAGAGAGGCTCATCGGCAAGAATTGCATCGTAGATTTCATCTTCGTCTTCACCACGGAAAGGAGACTGCTGTAGGAGCATCTGATAAATCAGGACACCGAATGCCCACCAATCGACCGCTCGGCCATACTTCTTGTCCAGCAGAATCTGTAAAAGCGTTAATTGATGATGCAAAGACTTGAAAAGCGAAGATTCTCACCTCAGGTGCCATGAACTCGGGAGTTCCACAAAATGTGCTAGTTGTGCTTCCATACCACATATTCTCTTTGCAGAGACCGTAATCAGCAATTTTGATGTGTCCATCTAAAGTCAGGAGGATATTGTCCAATTTTAAGTCACGGTAGATAACACCATTTTCATGGAAGTACTTGAGAGCCAGCAGAACTTCGGCAGCATAAAACCTGTGAAGTGCACGTTTAGTTTTCCTGACATTTCCGATGTGCGGTTCTATGCGCTCAACTTACTGTGCTCTTTTCAGCCCAAACTGACCGCGCTGGATGTGAAGCATTAGATCACCACCGCTGATGTATTCCATCACAAAGTACACACGAGTTTCTGTCTGGAAACAGGCGTGAAGGTTAAGAAGGAATGGATGACGTTCCTTGTTGGCGATCAGGAAGACACGCTTTTCGGATTTAGTGCTCTCCACTTCATCATTCTCAATGATGAACTCCTTCTTCAGCACCTTGATGGCATAAAGCTTCTTGGTGCTCTTTGTCTCTGCTAGCATGACCTTTCCGAAGTTACCCTTACCGAGAACAGCTAGGAAGTTGAAATGATCCAATCCAATTCTGACTTTGGGTTGCTGAGGAGGAATTTCCTCCTTGACGGCAACTTGTTGTTGCATGGGTGGAACGGGTTGCTGCTGCTGTTGTTGCTGCTGTTGAGGCATGCCATAGGGTGCACCCATCTTTTGCATTGCTTGGGGAGGGACGGCTTGCTGGTAGGATGCATATGCGGCAGGGTCATAGTGGGCGTGCGACGGCGGTGGTTGCACTGGACGGTTAGGATCTAGAAGTAGGGTTAGTAAGGGCACATTCTGCGCACTGGGTGGTGCATGGTGAATTGATCGAGGGTACCTGGTGCTTGCTGGGGCGTACGCAGTCCTGTGGCTGCGGCGGCGGCTGCAGCTGCGGGGCTTTGCGAGGAAGAAGTTCGTGGAGGCAGCTGTTGACGCTGAGCCGCTGTGGGTGATTGTGGAGGAATATAAGAGTTGGTTGCGGCGCTAATGGCCTCGGCGGAGGGCTGCCTCTGAGGGGCACCGTAGGGGCCCTCGACTGGCTTTTGCGGATAGGCGAGAGCAGCATTATCTTGAGGGGCCTGGGGCGGACCACCTGGTCGAAGGGTACGTCCACTCAGACCTGAACTGACAGAGGCTGACTTGTTATGGTTCTTCGCTCGAATGAGAGTTTCCAGGATCTGGTTGGCTGCTTCCATGGACATGCCACAGAAGTCAGGGACAAGGTGGGTACATTGAGCATGGCAAGTAAGACCACATTCTTGAAGAGAATCGCAAATATATGTCAGATCCTGTATTGGATATTGCCCTAGTGTCATGAGAAAGACATACCTGAACAGCGCTTAGCGCTCTTTCGTCCGAAAGGAAGCAGGTATCCGCAGTGACAACACCAATTGGCCGAGATGTTGGAGAAACCCTCGAAGCGATGCGGAATACGGTGGTTGATCTTCTCCTCGTCGGGATCCGTTTCGTAGTTGGCCTTGCTGATACACTTGGTGACGACCTTTGGATAGCACTTTCGGTGACAGGTATATTTACAGTCGGCACACTGCATGCCGGCAGCATATTTCAAGAAATCGCCACAAAGGGCACAGCGCATGATGTTGTAGAATTGCTGGGTGACAAACTTGTGACCCTGCTTCTCGTGAACCTCCTCCTTCTTCTGTCGGACGGCACCTTGACGGTTGAGACCGATATCGAAAGGGCGACGATCCTTCAATTGCTTGGCTATAAAATTATGTCAGTGCATCGATGTAGTAGAAAATGTGGTATGCAAGTACTCACCGAAGCTCAGTGTCAGGTGGATACGACCAACCGGCTCCAACGCGAACCAAGTGTCGATCAGGACCGGTCCGTTGGAAGGACCGCCAGGAGCACCACCGGCATATCCTTGACCTGGACCGCCAGGATGACCCCCAGAGGGTGGTCGATTGGACGAGCCCGTCGCTCCGCCAGCGTCTTGCCTGCCATGTGCGCCGCCATGGTCCATCTTGTCTGCAGAGACCCAGCCCGATGCGTTAAACTCGGATTCGATCTTCTTGCGGCGCATTTCTTCGGCGATGTCAGATATGCGCACCCAGAGCATGCCAATAGGCGTGGGCCGATCTCCCGACTTGTCGTATACGGTAAGTTCAATTTCATTCGCTTTGTCAATTTCAATGTTGAACGCCTCGTCTTGCCATTTGTCGGTTCTGGTGGCTTTCGTCCTCGCTTTGATGGCATCCTCTACTTTAAGAACGACAAAAGTCTCAGGACCTCTGGAGAACCTTGAGCTGGCAGCATGATCGACATCCTTGACAGCATGAATACGCAAGGTTAATAGACCGGTCAACGGCTTGCGCATATTTGGTGCGCTCAAGCTTTCGTCTGTTCAAACCAAGTCAGTAACTGCAGATTGCGAAGACCAGGCAACAAGCAGTGGCTCGTGACATACCGTCAGGTGCTTCGGCGGATTCAATATCCACATGAAGGTCTTCATATCGTTTGAGAGCCTGCTTGAGCAGCTGAATTTTTTGATTACTCTCGATTCGCCTCCCCTCTGCGTCCTGTCGGCTTTTCCTATCGCCCTCATCTTGATATAGACGGACCATCTTCTCGATACCGGCCTTGTATTGCTTCTCAACGCTCAATTTGAATTCCAGTTGAGATAACATGAGCTGAATCTTGGGCCCAAGATAAGGAGTGTCGTACTTAATCAGATCTATACGCAAACGGTCCCAAGTCAGTAGATGATCTCACACGACCTCCGCGAAAACACCTCAAGCAAGCTACCACATCGCTCAGCGCAGCAAACAAGCAGTGAAACCTACCAAGTTTAGTATAATTCGGCCGGGCCTTGGGAACGGGGGCAAAAGGACGAGGATCCGCAAAGGGCGCCCCGGACGGCATGGACCCTGCCCCTCCCTGCGGATAAGCCCCAGAAGCATCCCCATACTCGTGCTCGTTACCAGGATAGCCCGGTGCGTAATCTTTCGGAGGAGGAGCTGGGCCCGACCCATCAGGATTTGGAGGTAGACGTTTGTCGGTGGGGGAAGCCCCTTCCTGCTTCATCTGTCGGAGCTGCAGCTCCCGCATCTTCTCTTCGAGGTAGGCGATGTTTTTCCGACCATCACGAATATTCGCATCGACTCTCTGCTGCACGAGCGGGTTATCGGTCGACTGCCGCATGTTCGACGCCGCAGTGATAAGAGCCTTCTCCCGCTCAATCTTGCGGTAGACCGAGGCAATAAGCTCGTCCCCGTCCATGGTGACAAGGCGGTCCGAAGACGAGAAAGTCGTGTTTTCTCAAGAGACTTCGAACCTAGTCGCACAATGGAGAATTAGTATGAAACTGGGGAAAGGACCGAATGGAAGAGGCGAGGATATATGGATGAGAATGGGTGGCAGGGTGATAGAACCGTCGCGGGGTTCTTGTTGACAGTTGCAAAGGAGGGGGGGCAGATCGATCGCGGACTTGACAGTAGTCAATTATAATAATCACACTCGGGAAACGTGAGACAACGCCCAGCTCGATGACGAAATCACTTCTTTCGTCTTTCCCAATCAACCTGAAGAAAGATCGGAAGATGATGAAGTTAAACAGCCTGGCTCCTGGATCGACAGCCAGGGCAAAGCAAGTTGGTGTTCTCGAGATGGTTTTTTTCTTTCCCTCTTTAGGGCGATGGACTGGGCTGTGCTTGAATCCTGGCCAGACTCGGATCCGGAGGGAAGTCTGGCTTGACCGCCCGCAGCAAAATAATAATGGGGAATAATAATCCCCAGTACGGAATATTATTATTCTATCCTGGTTGGGTAGCGAACTGTTAGGACTACCTAACTTGAGTACCTATATAAGGTGAAATAATTGGTGTTCCTCTGCTGGAATCAGGCTGGCAGCTGCGATGAGACCGGAGGGGTGATCGAAGTAGGTCTCTATTCTGACTCCGGGGGCGACAACCAGTTGGGATTGTTCTCTTGGAAGAGGCGACGGGAGGAAATGACAGGCTGGTCTGGTTGTGGCATACAAAGCGAGATTCTCAAGGGTTCTTGAGGAGATTGAATCATGGGAGGGCTGCCAGGGCACGAACAGCTTGATACAGCAGTCTCTATATGTACATACGCGAACACAAAGAGTCCGAATCCATGAACATCATATCTGGTGACTTATCGACAATCGTCAAATCTAAAATGCCTAAGAGATATTTATTTTTAAGGGATGCAATAATCTGTGCTTTGTACCATGTCCCAAAAGCACCATCCAGCCAGATATGTTGTGGTGACCTGACTTGCCCGTCGTCATCCATAGACCTTACAGCATGTCCCCAACAGTCATGTGGCTCCTCTGTGCGGCCTGTATCTTGCAGTGAAGTAAGTTGAGCCGTCTGTGCATGCTTCAAGTCACGCATGATCTCCTGTGGACTTAGTAGCTCACCCCGGGTTGGTAGCGTACGTGTTCTTGAGTAAATGCATTCCTGGGCTAAGCCAGGAGGAGCGAAAGAGAAGCGAGGAATGTCACCCAAAACAAGAGAGAAGAAGACAATTAGGCAAAGAGGAAAATCCAGTCTGCAGTGGGAAGCTGACACAAGAAGCACAGGCGACGAGAGCTCTCCTGATAGGGCCATGATTGCTTCTTGTATGTGGCCGTGGCCAGAAAGGAATACTACTCCTTCCTAGCAACGGAATGTTTCTTGGGCAACCCTGGTTCACCTTTCATTTTTGAGCTAGCCGGCAGAGAAGAAGTACTCTCAGCCTCCAAGGTGCCAATGGATAATGCTTCCGGGGATCATGCGTTCATCATATTCACTATCTTCTAGTTCCTCGTGTCGGTACAAGCTCGGATGCGCTGTTGCGAAAAGTCTCCATGCATCAATAGAGGCAGAAGTAGTGTGAAGTACCGGCCCTCAAGTAACACCAGAAACTCAGCATATCCCATGTTCTCATTGGATGGCGAAGCAATCTTATTCGGACCTCTTGGAGACCTTAGGCATTGAGGCCCAACCCACAAGCATCACACCATATAACCCAATGCAGATTGGGTGGAGAACATATGTCCCCACACTCTGCGCTAGCAAGCCTGTGAAGAAAGGCGAAACGGCACCACCACTGCTTCCCATGGCGCTGATAAAGCTCAAGCTAGAGATCTGAAGATTTCTAGGAAGCAACTTGCTGAAGACTGCTGTAGCACAAGGGTAGACTGGACCTAGCAGCAAACCCACAATAGCCACAGAAACCGCGTCCCCGATGACATTTGGAATAAGCCACGTCATAAGCTGGAAAGCAGCAGATCCCACAACAAGCAAAATAACGGCAAGCTTTTCTCCAGCCATATGCGCGGGATGCGAGAGCACAAAGCGTCCAAGGGTAATGCCCGCCCAAAATCCGGCGCTGACATAGCCGACATGGGAAGGATCTCCGTTACGATAGCTGATCAGGAACGAGACAACCCAGCCTGAGATAGAAACCTCTGCACCCTGGTATGCAAAGATGAAAAGAGCCCCGAGTAACGTCGTTTTATTTTTGACTGCTTGCTTCAATAGTTGTTTTTTGCTGGCCACATTGTGATCATGCTCCTGATGTGAAGCCGTTTGCTGAAGCGCGGTGAGAAGTTGAATTGGCAGGTCTTTCTCATACCCGCGGAATGTCCACATCGCAAACGCTAGGTTGAACACTGCCAGTGCGAGATTGATGGAGTAGTAGAAAGACCATTGAACCCCGTCGGATACCATGGCTGTCGCTATTAGCGGTCCCATGACCCCCCCAATGCCGTAGCCACCATGAAGAGCACCGAGAGCAGCCGTACTGTTCGCTAGGTTCGCACAGAAAACATTGTTCAAGGCCAAATTCAGCGCGATTCCGAATCCCAGCAGAAAGAAACTGGCCACGACGGCTGGAAATGGCGGTTTGAAGAGAATGATCACATATCCCGCGGCCAATAAACTCATTGATAAGGCGTAAGACCTTGAGCGTCCAAGCTTGGCCTCGAAAAATTGCGTGACTGGCGCAGCAAGAATGAATCCTAGCGCGTTAGTCACAAAAATCAGAGACACGACTGCGTAACCGATATTGTAGTCCTTCTCAATGTACGGAATCAGAGCACCTGGGCCGCTGTCATTGAAGCCATTGGCCATGTTCATCATAAAGGCACTCAAAAGTCGCCATCTTGTTGTCGAAGATGAGGTGGGATTTGGCAGTGGATCGATAGCGCCGTCTCCTGCAGGCGAGCCCGGAAGGCTCTCCAACTCACTGGGCGTGACGGGTGTGATACGCATATGATCTCCGGTGCTTGGCCTTGACGCATGAGACTGGCGACTTTCGCGCATATACTCTAGCTCGTATTCGGAGGGAGTGCGAGCGATACCCTGCCTATCTTTTCGCACGACGGCCGCAGGGTTAGCGATTGGTGAGGCGCTCTCAACCCGCACCATAGCCCCAAAGGCTGAGGTGGACATGACAAGAGGGTGTTATCCTAATCCAGATATAACAGTAGAGAATATCTGAATGCGGCTGGAGAAGTCGTTTCTTCCTGGTGGATGGGGGGGCAATTCTTGTGGGAAAGAGTGTTTAAGAAGATCCTGAAAAGTCCATGAGGTGCTGCATCAGCATTTATAATCAAACTTGGAAAATGAATTCCGATGACGACCAGGTGACTCAAGGTGAGATATCTTCACGATAGGTGTGCTAAGATCATCGAGGTTCCAGAACACAATGGGGAAAGCCATTCAAAGCATTCAATTGTCAGCTGGCCATTATTTTGCCATCTTTCCAATCATCAGTGCATACATGCTCCACCATGGATACGCTGTCAGCCTGCATGGACAAAGAACTATTCATGCTCAAATCATTATTTGACACATAGAGCCTGCGATTATGCACAGGATCATCATGCTCGTCGGGACTGGGGAGCTTGCGATTGCCTCAGGATAGGTGCGGGATGGAGGGGGGAAGGTACGATAATAATGCTCCACAGTAGTCTATCCCCACCACGTGAAGTTTTTTTTTTTTTTTTACCTAGTATTTTATCTGTTTGTCAACCCCACCTTTTTGACAGACAATAATGAGCAGTTTGTCCAAACTTTGTGCTTAAGATTTGACAGTCGTTGAACTCAACACTGAATTGAATATACAGAGTGAATGCCAAGTAGAATTCTTGCTTCCCTCGTCAAATTTCACGCTCTCAGAAGCCATGGGCCCTCCAAGAAGAAAGGTGCTTGCTACAGCTGAAGAGACTTTGTTCCCCCCTGATGAGCTGGCTCAAGGACAACAAATTGGCCGAGTCATTAAAGCCACTGGGAACAATGTCTACCTGGTCGAATTTCCTTCGAAGGCAAGAGCACTGGTAGAATTGCCTGCCCGATTTCGATCCACAATCTGGATCAAGCGGGGTTCCTATGTCGTGGTTGACACGAGTGCCTTAGAGGATAGAGACAATAAGCTTGGTGGAGAAATTATCAACATCGTCAGGGACGAAAAGGCCTGGCGTAAAGCTCCTTTCTGGTCAGTCTAATGCTACCATGAAGGGCGGGACATCCTGTGGTCTATGCGATATGCTGACAGTTCCCATAGGCCAAAAGAGTTCGTCAAGCAACCAACTGCCGTGGAATCATCTGATGAGGAAGACGAATCGAATGTGGGCAAGATGCCTTCGTCAGACGAGTCGGATGCGTGACTTAGTCCTCCTATGCCTTCTCCCACAACGACTCGCCTTCGACTCAGCCATTGCCTGGCCCGCTGGCAAGAAACGGTTTACTTGTGGATCCACCAATCATCAACGAGGCTTAGGAATGCAAGGAAACTAGGGATATTTGCAGCAGCTCCCTTGAAAGAGGGCTGGATGTCACATTCATTGCAGATGTTCTTTCTGGCTGCTCTGATCCAGATGCTTGCGACTGAATGAGTTGCCGAGCACACCGAATACTTGAGCAGTAAGTGAGAGGACCACGACTAGAGAACTCGCGTTGGTACTAGGATATGTGTTCCAAGACCACTCTTGCGCCGCCCACACAACGTACACAAGGATCGGATGGAAACCCGCCTGCCAGAGAAGGAAGGGTGTCGTGCAGGCAAGATAAGCAAAGAATTGGTAATGCAGGGATCTCGCGCACAGCAAACCAATCGCAAGGGATGACAGCATTGCCGTCATTATGAAAGACTTGGAAAGGGGGACTGTGCGATGGCATCCTTGGATTAATCTATGCAGGAAGCTTGGCAGGTTTGATCCAGACGGCTTTAGCCATACTGTGACCGCGAACAGGCCCAACAGCAAAATGTGCAATGCCAATAGGGCCAGAGAAAACTTTCGCGATAGAAATAGTTCTTCTCCAACAAACCTCCAATTGACTGTCCACTTGAACATGAACTGCCTGGTCAGCTCAAAGGCTCTCGAAATATATCCCATCGGGTTGTTTTGCAGAAACGGTATCCCAAGTAGGACCTACTCGCCGTGTTAGCCATTTTTCCCCTTCGAAATCAAGAGGCATTCGGTTTACCTGGATGAGCACTGCAAGTATTCCTAGTTGAATACTTGGCCCAAGAGATAAGCTAAGCACCAAGACCACTGCGATGGCAGGAGCCAGAAGCAGCAGCGTCATCTTGATCGCAACACCGGTAGACCATACAATGACTCCAGCCGTCCACTTCTTGTTCATAAACAAGAGGATAGCAACCCACATAGCGAAAGCCGCAAATCCATCGTTGAATAGGCGCAGCATGAAAACGCTATGGAGCCGCTTGGAGAGCACAAGGGGTATTATCAGATATGGAGGGGCTCCGGCCTGTCTGTAACAGGTCATCGCGACGGTCAATGTAGCGAGATATAGAATGGCGAACAGAATTTGTCCGAGGAAGATATCTCGGCCTTCATCCGTGAGGTGGTAAAGGATGTTGTAGATGTACACGTGGGCGGCGGGATACACCAGAGGCCCCGTAGACCCTTTGATCAAGGTGTAGTCGCGCTGGCCGGAGACATAGAGTGAGATTTGCTGCATGTAGGTCGTCCAATCGATCTCAGTATCTACAAACAAGGGCTCAATGTTAGCTTCATGTAGCTAGGTATTGTTCTTGACGTCCTAGAACACTCTGCTGAACTCACATGGGACCTTCCAGATGATTAGCGCGCAAAGGACAGCATCGCCCAGAATAAGCAGACGAGCAACCCATCTTGTATGTCTAGGGTTCATACAAAGATCGCGCAGCATGTGCTTCAAGTCCATCATAATGATATGATGGTATCTGAAGTTGCAATTGTTGTTGCAGGTGGCCTGAAAGTCCGGAGCCAATGATATTCGCCATTTTCCGGCTTAGCTCAGAACTGGATGGGCAGAGTGGGAGACCCATTGAAACCGCCATCAGCAGAATCAACCATTGAGCTGAAAAATATGACAGTAAAGCCAGTAAAGTGTCATTCATTCAATTCAAAGGTATAGCAACATAAAGCAAATACAAGTGCTAATATCTACACTATCTGTACATGGGTATAGCAGGCAATTGTGCCGTTTCTGTGGGACAAGTAAGGGCATGAAGACTGCACGACCGGCTGGAATCACTGCCCTTTGCCCATCATCATATCACACAGGATCAGCGAGACCATTATGGAGCAACCTGTGATATTGGCCTCCTTGGCTTGGAGCGGCCACTGACTCAGTCCCGGGAGTCCGTTATTTCCGCTCCCCCTCAGCAGTCGAAAATCCTAACAGCTGCCCCAGAATACCCTTGGGCTTAGGAACAGGACATTCCCTCCCTGCATTGGCCAGACGTTCTGCTTCCTCTTCCATTTGTAAGAATGTCGACACCTCCTCATCCGAAGACTGGGGCCTTGCCGAAGTCACATCTTGCTCGAGCATGTTTGGGTCCTTCCTCCTCTTCCTTCGAACTCTTTGTATCTGTTGTCCATCGGCGGTCATCATCATTTCGGAATCGGCCAGCGTACGACGTGGAGCGGGGCATGGGAAGAGGTGCGGCATGCCAACAACAAAGAGCGATGCGAGGAGCGTCGCCGCAAAGAGCGACATGGTCGATCGTGACCGCGGATGTAGATGAGGCGGCATTTTGGATGTGATTTAAAGAAGCAATTGATGCCAGAATCCTCTCTATGATGTTGACATGGAGAGATCGTGGTGCTAAGACGGAAAGACTCATTAGCAACGAGTGGGGGTTCCTCAAGCGGGACAAACAGCTCACCTTATCGTTGATCGGTTTGAACTTATTGAATCAACACAAATAAAGTAGAGAATGTCCCGATAAAAACATGGTTCTCTCCAATGGGCAGCGTGGCTGAAGCGAGGGATGCCGAAACGCAGCACTCGGAGCAGCAGACGAAGAGTGCGAAATGAATCGAGTTGGATTCCACCTCGTCTTGGCGGTCAGGATCTTATCTTATCAGTCTGCGTTGTGATTGGTTCGAAGGACTCAGTCATGGAAGTTGTCAACGTCTTAGGTTGCTGCTGTTGCTGCAGGGCCCCCTTCGTCTGCTCTGCAAACCACTTGCATCCACCCCTGTTTCTTTCGCTCGCCGCATGTGTTACGAAGAAAATGATTGTTGATTTTTTCTGCATATAGCGCTTCTGATTTTTGTTCTTTGCTCTCTGTGTTTCCCAGGCTTGGCTGAGTCGATTTTTCGTCGAACTTCCTCGGATCTAGGACCCACCGATTGGTCACCAGCCGCTCAGACTTGATCATTCCTTCGATTCTTCCCCTCCCGTTCGAAATACTATGAGTGATCTAGACAGGTAATACCGAAGAATTTTGCTTGCCATGGATCTTCAAGGCCCTCACTGACTTCGGTTGCTTTCATCAGGGCGATCGCGCAGCTTCGCGCTTGCCGCTTGATCCCCGAGTCCCAAGTCCGCGAACTCTGCTACAAAGCTCGAGAGATTTTGATAGAAGAAGGGAATGTTGTTTCTGTGGATGCGCCAGTCACAATATGCGGAGACATACATGGCCAATTCCATGATCTGATGGAACTGTTCCGCGTCGGAGGCGACGTTCCCGACACCAACTATCTCTTCATGGGCGACTTCGTCGATCGCGGGTTCTATTCTCTCGAGTCATTTCTCCTCCTCCTCTGTCTCAAAGTTCGCTATCCTGATCGCATCACCTTGATCCGCGGAAATCACGAGTCTCGCCAGATCACAACCGTCTACGGCTTCTACGACGAATGCATTCGCAAGTATGGCAGCGCCAATGTGTGGCGGTATTGCTGCGAGGTGTTTGATTACCTGGCGCTGGGCGCCCTCGTGCTCGGGGCTAGCTCAGAACTGGAACCGACTGGCTCAACCATGAACGACACTACGCAGTCCACGATGCCGATTGATGACGCGGAATTGGAGACGGAAGTACTCAACTCGAGAGGAGAGGTCACAATGAGCACTTACAGACGGCGGCAACGATCTTCTTCGGACGCATCGACCGATTCCCGAAACCTCTCTCCACCACGGGATATCTCCGCTGTGCCTGGCCAGGCCCCCACCAGATCCGGCCCACCAGGTACAGGTGCTTCGGGCAACGGAGCCGGTAGCTACGCCAGCCGGACCGGTGCTGTCCTCTGCGTGCACGGCGGCCTTTCCCCGCTGATAGATACAGTGGATAAGATTCGCCTGATTGACAGAAAGCAAGAGGTCCCGCACGAGGGCGCCATGTGCGACTTGCTCTGGTCGGACCCGGACGAAATCGAAGGATGGGGACTGAGTCCGCGTGGTGCAGGCTTTTTGTTCGGTGGAGACATCGTGAAGCAGTTCAACTACAAGAATGATTTGTCCCTGGTCGCTAGAGCTCACCAGCTCGTCATGGAGGGCTACAAGGAGATGTTTGACGGCGGGATCGTCACTGTCTGGTCAGCCCCTAACTACTGCTACCGATGTGGCAACGTAGCCGCAATACTGGAGCTCGGTGAGGATACAAGTAACGGTGGTACGGTTGCTAGAAGCAATGGTGATTATGGACGGAGTAATGGGGTCTCAGGCGCAGACGGCGGCGGTTCAAGGGTCGTCAGTCCCGGTAGAAGGTACAGAGTCTTTGAGGCCGCCGCGCAGGACACGAGGGGCATGCCTGCGAAGAAACCTGTTGCTGATTATTTCCTGGTGAGTCTTTTCTCCCTTTTCCTTGAGACACGTTGAGTTTACTAACACTGTGCAGTGATACCACGTGACGCACTTATCTTCCCTTCTAAGAAATCTTTTTAAATTCTTATATAGGCCGGCCCAAGCAATGAACTTTTCTCATTTTCTTCAAGACATAGTATCCTCTATCCACTGTAAAAATTTCGTTGTAGTCCTGCTCATCAAGATGAAAGAGATCAAAGTGTATTGTAGGTCCAGTAAGCACCTATGAGAGCAGATTTGGCCATGAGCGAACACTGAACGCTGAACTTGAAAACAGCTAATGACACTATCCTAGGGTTTTACTCTCCTCGTCTCCAAAGACATTGGGAAAGATATCTTTTTTCCAATAACGGTGCTAACAAGGCTCAAAATGCGAATCCCATCGTTAGAATCATAACTTATATATCCCAGAGATGACATAATACACTTCGTAATACAGGAGTCAACATGTACATTATCGCAGGAAATTGCCCGGAAGAACTATATTGTTATACTCAGAGATGCTGGGATTTTGTTCCGACTCGGTCATATTAGGAGGCACCCCAACTGGGTACCTGTAGGCCTGTGGCGCTCTAGATGTGCTGTCCGGTCCTGATGTCTGTCCAGTATTAAGAGCATTGCTGTCGAAGCGCATGTTTGTAGCCGGCCCGTTGAAGCTCGGATTCGAACGTTGCTCCCAATTTTCCGCCCCCATGCTTAAGAGTGCGTTGGGGTTGCGGGACCACCAGTCATGGCTCTCTTCCACTAAGTTTTCTGATTCGTCAAAACCGGTCAATGGAGAGGCCTCTGTAGCCGAAGTGGTGTTTTTGTCTGTGCCGAATGCGCGCACCACTTGGCCGTTGTACCAAGCGTCGTGCTGTGTTAGTGGGACAGGCTGCATTGGTCGGTAGCTATGAGGGACAGGCCTAAGGTAGGTTGGCTCCGGTAGAGGCGCATCTGTTCGTGGAATCTGGGCGTTGAAAGAGCGATGGGCTGCTCGCATCGCGGATAAGGACGTTGGGAATGAGAGTCCTGAACGATATTGTTGATTGCCTTGGAACACAGCTGAAGTTGTAAGGTTTTGAGAACCTCCATGTTGACTGATTGATGCTTCTCCTGGGACTGATGGTATATAAATCGGAGCTGAAGACGGAGGCTGCGCCGAAACGGTCGGTGGGGATTCTTCGGACGTCGAGGGAGATGCTGCTTGATCCCATGAGCCCCAAGATCCCCATTTTGCGTGTGTTCTCTCAAAGATGCTCAAAGCTTCAGTAGGCAACTCAACCTGCCACTTATTGGCAGATATGTCGAGAATGCGAAGCGTGCGCCGAGCACAGAGCCAGCTCTCACCCATCTCGTCTAAGTTGCGGAGGCCGTGAATTATGTCCCTCTGCGCATTCTTTTCAGGTAAATTGAGAAGATGGATAGTACAAGCAGTATGTGCAATATAAACCGCGACATTAACTATTTGTTGGAACCCATAGGTGCGCTTGTACATTCGCAGCAATTTCGATATGGTGGCTGCAGCTTGTGTGCATAATTTGCGAGGAGAGACATGCTGAGGAAGGGGAGAGGTGGACTTGGTGTACCTCAGGAAGGGGCGGTACAGGTGTATGAAGAGGAGTTGGTAGAACATGCTATTTACGATCATTAGTGGCCGAGTCCCATTGTGGGTTGAATGACTGCTTGAAGCTTACTGCATAACAAGGACCTGAGGAAGCTGGCCCTCTCGAGGTTCCAACTCTTTGGGTAGGCCTTTCTTCCAGGCTTCAAGTCTAGTATGGATCTCGCTCAGCTTTTTAAGCTCTGCTGGTTTTGTTGGCGGTTTATCCGTTGGGCTCGGGTCATAGAAGTAAACAAGCAAGTCGCCGCTGATCTCACTCAGCTTGGCAATCTGTAAAGCCACAGTTCTGATTCGTGAGGGCTGCGTGTTGTCCTGGATGGGTCCAGAGTCTGTGTATGGAGACCAGAGCTCTGCCTCCTCATTGGGCAAGATATCAATCTTCGGCACGCAAACCTGAGAGGTCAATAATTGAGGCTGGCGGCCAAGGTAGTTAGACCAGCATCTGTCTTCGTCAGAAAATACATTAAATACATTTGAAAGATGTGTACTTGAAATGGGGTGACAAACTTATCAAAGAGGAAACAACCCCAAAACGTGATCCGTCGTGCATCTAATTCTTCGTCGTCGAGCTTACGAGTTCCCAGGCTGTTGGAATCCAAATTCAAACCTAGGTCGAAGGCCATACGGAAGCTCATGCCACTGTAAACCCAACCTTTGCCCTCACGACCGCAACCAGCTTCTCGAACTGATAGGAGTGCCAGTGCTTGGACGGTGCACAGCTTTGCGTTCACATGTTCGTCATTCTCGAGGACCAACCGCTTGGCTTCTTTGAAAAAATGATCTCCCGCAGTCGCAGAATTGGTCGGATCCGCCCGAGCGCCTTTCCATGAGCTAAAATGACAACCCAGAGCAAGCATCGCGTTGACAAGCAAGGACGAGCAGTATTGGCTTGAAACACCACGGATGTAGTCGCGGTAGAAGAGATCTTTAGGGATAGTGGTGAAAAAGGGATAATGCCAGGTGAAGTACATCGTCATGAGGTGACTTATCAATTGCTCGTCATCGGTGACTCTCGTCCACCGAGTGACAGAGTACTCATAGCTGCGGTCCAACGCCTGGCCGTTCAGAGTCGAGTCGAATTCATTGAGTTCTGACCCTGGTGGTAGAAAGATGAGGTTGGACGTGCCTCCAATATACTTACGGGAACCATCCAACATAAGCTCACCCATCCTTCCTGCTAAAGTAGATACAAATTGATCTTCTTGCGTCGAGGATTCGTCCCCGCTGGGGAAGTCCTCCCCAGATGCGGGCCCTTTGTCCCGGCTCATGATCGATTGAGCCACATCTTCTAAACTGTCGCAGGAACGTATTTGCCGGACTAAGTCGAAAGCGTCTTCTTCATCGTAGTTCAGCAATGCCTGAATTAACGTGTGTAAAGTCGAATTTTTCGTCCTGAGGGCGTCTGTGTCCTTTTTGTACACACCCTTGCGTCTGTGGTCAGAGTTCGGATCGTAGACACCTGCAAGACAACTTAGCACGACTTTCTTTCCTTCATCCCTTACATTCTATGGCTTCTCCATACAGGGTGTATGATAAACGGATGAGCATGCGGCACAGCTCGGTAGGTTCCCATCGCACTTGTAGAGGAGAGATTGTAAGAAATATGGACGAAGAAACAACAGTAAGCGAGAATGCTGGCTTAGCTACCTTCGACTTCCTCCTCCGACAAGCAATGCAGGCCGTGCTTACGCAGCGTCTCTTGGACGTTGGACCATTGCCAGGATTCATGCTCTTAGCTTTTCCGGCCGATTTTCCTCGGGGTCCTTTAGCAGAAGGTTCCGGGCTTAGTGATTGAGCATTCGCCGCAGTATTCCCCTCCATGTTTGTCAAGACCACCCTGGAATGTTCAAAGGGACTGTCAAGTCAAAGCAGACCATTCTTATGTCGAGTGGTGATAATATGTGTCCGCCGCTGAAGGGGGGCCCGGAAGTTGTGTGAGCCAAAACCCGTCAAGATAATGAGCGTATCGAGCAATATGCGCTTAAGGAATTGAGCGAACCTGAGATGGTTGGAGAAGCATCAGTACACACATGTCAAGTTCTGGCGGCCGCTTGAAGCGACTCAGAGCATGTGCTCCAAGCGCTTCAATGCGATTGCACATTACATATGCAATCTCCGTGCTCATATTTGTCTGGATATACTCACAGACCGCGGACTGCAGACAGAACTGATTGTACTCCGTAAGCAGCGCGACAATCACACCATAGGATTTCGACCCGCAGTGGAGGCGGGATTGCGGAGGATGGGTTCATACATCAAAGCTGGGACCACTGGGCTGGAATGGAAAATGATAAGAGACTTTGATGTTGCGAAGTTAATTGGGCAGGAACAAGAGATGAGATAAACTACCTACCCTGGAGCGATAATCTCCCACTAGAGAGTCCTTGTTCTGGAACCTCACTGCCACCGCCGCCGCGAAGTGGGCGATAAGAATCGCTGACTAAGGCTCGCCTGGCGCAGGTCGATGACAACGAGTCGATGAATGCGCGGAGAATTCGCCAGTACTTAAAGACATTGCAACCACCTTGTTGAATCATAAACACCGATAGTCGCTCAAACAGCAGCTCTAGTGATTGATAGCGGTGACATCCCTGAAAATGAGGATTCGGGCGCATCGATGAGATAGTCGGATTCGGCCAATCATAGCGGATGGGTTTCTGAAGAGGCAGGTACGATCTGCCGAGATCTGAGGATATGTGCACATTGTGCACATCTCATCCATCACACCAGTGGCACAGTAGTTGTACCTCATAACCCCTCGAATGAGCGAAATCGGTACTATCCGCATCTGACTCTGAAATGAACGATCCAATCTAAGCTCATGGAGAAGTTTTCCAGTCTCACAAACTATGAATTATTATCGAGTCACCATGCGAACTTCAGTTGTAGATCATCTGTGATACCAAAAGGGCTTCATATGACAACTAGGGATTGAGACCATCAGATGTTGATATGGGATTTTTCAAGGGCATATAGTACTCCCGCCTTGGAGATGAGACTGCTCCAAGGACAAAGTGCTATTCATATCTGAGGACCTTCCCATTTATCTATTAATACTAGTTTCAAGAGGCTGCGATAACTGAATTACCAGAAAAGCAAACGTATTATGATTCAATCTCCAAATAAGGAAAGTTGGGAGTGAGACAGAAATGAAAAATCAGGGATGAAATACAGCTTTCCACTCTCCCATTTCCAAAAAATCCCTTAGTGGCATTGGTTTAAAATGAAGGCCTGGCCCATCTGCAAAATCGTGCCGATCAACAGGTGAGGGAATAGACAACGGACGGAGAAACTCCACAACCTCTGTGTGACCACCTTCCGATGCCCAGTCAAGCGCAAATTTCCCTCTTGGATCCTTGATTAAGGGGTCCGCACCTCTGTCCACCAGAAGCTTCACCAGGTCCAACAGTCCCTTGCCTGCAGCGAGTTGTAAAGGCGTTCCAATACCCGCATACATATTTTTGAGGTAGTCTTCTAGACAGTCTTGGTACATGACTTTGTTGATTGACTTGGAGCCACCATTCTCAAGGAGAAAGGTTAAAACCTCAAGACGATCTGATAACTCTCGCTGTGCCGCATAGTGGAGCAATTGGCCACGCTGAATTGTACCCTCTCGGTTGAAGAGTGCCAGAATGGCAGAGAATGGTGCATACCTGACGGCAAATGATAATGGCGTACAGTCCCGGCCACACAGTGCATTTGGGTCAGCATCGTGATCCAGAAACCAGTACATAAGTGCTTCATCCCTAAATGTGTAACTTTTCTCGGTTAGACGGCTTCTAAATATTATTAGAACTACACTTACGCAAGTGCTGGGGGCCTTAGAGGATCAATAGGGGTATTGATGTCCCATCAGTGCTCAAGGAAGGTTTGAAGAATCGGATACAATTTCCTTTCGATCGCATAAAGAAACAATTCTTGGTTCATTGGTACCCCTCGGTCAAGCAGATAAGTAACACAGGCAACTTGATTGTTCGTTACTGCAGCTGAGAGAGCTGGAGACAGGCTTCCAAGCAGGTGTCGATTGCTGAGAAACTCGTTCTGCCATTTCGAGAAGAATGTGCGAAGTGTATCGATGTTGCCCACTGCGCTTGCCGTGTTAAGATGGTCGAGTTCAGCCGGCCAGCTGTAAGCCATTCCCAGGGCTAAGGGCTGGGTCTGATGTGTAGATGTACATTGCATGGTGACTACATGTGTTAACTAGAATGGAGGTGGAATGACAAAAAGAAGACAGTCTGAGAAGGCACTTCCAACCAAAACAGAGAGTCGAGGCGGTATTTGGTGGTGCTGTTGCACTGCCTGATCACCTGAACTGTGTTAGAGGAATACTCGCACAGAATGGTCTCACGTCTACTCTGGCTTTGTATGAAGTGCCTGGAGGAGGACATTTAAATGCTGCCAAGGGTACTGTCTTTATCGACGCAAGGCAGGGTTCTCTGTTTGTTTATGTTGAGGACAGACAAGTCCTAATGTAGATATCATGTAGCTAGCTTATCCTGATAAGGTGTGCTAAACAGATCAACAGCAATGGTGTTGGATTGTGAATAAATATGTTGAACTGGTGATGCGTGCTGTTGCACGCTGTGGCCCTGAAAATGACATGAAGAAGGGTTGGAAAATAGTATAATGATTATAAAGTTTTCGAGCGGGTAGTGACTAAGCAAACTTACCACCTAACTAGTTAACTAGTTAGTTAGTTAGTTACTATGATTGATTGACGCTAAGCCTATCTTGCTGTATAATTGTAATAATATAATTTGCAGAAGGTCTCTATTAATGATATGTAGATTACCTTATTTCTTTAAGATTGACATGAAGTGATTCAGACTACTTGATAACACTTACAACTTGGCATTTACGTACTGCAGCTTGGTCAGGTACAAGTTAGGTAGGTACTCTTTAGGAACAACATCTGGGGCTGAGACTGAAAATCACACCTGGTATTCTGTGACCACAATGGAGAATAAATGCGAATACATCCATAGGTACATAGGTATGGATGTAGGTATTACTTTTTGGAACGATGTAATGACAGATTTGCAGGTCAATTGAGATCAAATATGGACAGCACACTTCGTACTGGACATCTTTAATTTCATCAAACTCCCTCATAATCATGATCTTCATTCGCATTACTGAGCCCATCGCTTCCCTTAAAGGGAGCTCTTACATACACTTCTGCATGCCAAGCGGACAGGGTATCTGTGGCCGTGAATTCATCCGGCATAGTATACCGATCGGTACACGCCGAGTCAGGAGACGCTTCATACACCGTAAGGAACGGAAGGGTGAGCCTTAAGGCTCCCCGATAATGAGATCAGCGATCCGAGACCAATACCGCGCCTGGGTTCGTGAGCGTCATGACCGTCCAAGGAAGACCACGAATGGTTGGACGGCTTGTTGAAGATCAATCTAGTAGTTCGAGCTAAACACCCAATCCGACGCCATGACTGTAATGATTGCAATCTGTAGGCAGGGTCAGCAATCATCCCTCTCTAGGTATGTGGATAATAAGCCATACGAGGGACAAGTCTACTCCTGGTAGGACGGTCACATCCAGAACAGGTCGATAGCCCTTCTTCGAGCTCGGCAACAGAGCCAATCTCTCATTGTGAGGTATGCTTTCGCGAATCTCGGCGACCTTCCTGTCCCCATCCACGACATCGAACGAAGCCAAGGCATTCCCATACTTCTCAACCTCTAACGTGAGTATCTTTTCCTCTTCCTTTTTCGACTCAATGGCTGCTCTGTTCTGGAAAGTAATCTTGAAGTCTCCGACGGACCACCCTGTGCTGGCTGTGGCTATATTTGCATGCTTGCTTCCTGGTAGCGTGACAGACCATGTATTCTTGAGCGACATCTTCCTATGCAGCTCAAACAGAGGCAGTCCAGAAGCATCCCAGAATTCGCGACAGGCGCGAACACTAAATTTACGACCTGTCGCAGTGAACAAGGTCACCCCATCGCCATCCTCAATCTTATAGGCTCTTGATGACTGCCTGTCGCCTTGCGGTCTCACAACCAGAAGTGTCCTCGAATCCGCGACATATTCGGTTCGTACGGCGATCGGACGGCCCGGTGCTTTTAATACTCTGCGAAAAGAAGATTGAGAGGACGACGAGGAGGAGGACGACGATGATCTGAACATTGTGGCGTGGATTGGAGCTGGCTTGGTGAAGTGCGGGGAAGCGCTCACTTATATTCCGTCATAGCATCAGAGGGCTGGATTGGTCGGAGTCTTCGGATAGTCTGTTGTATCATGGATTCTTCCATGTCCCTTGCACAGCCCCGCGATCAAGCCTCAGCTTTGAGACGAATCAGCTTAGGACTGGTGTAGAAAAGATCTCACTTCATGATTCGTGCGAGATGGTGATGGCCTCAGGTAGCACCAAAAAGCTATTTATATGATTTTTACTTCTAAACTGACGAGGATCAGCAGTACCTTATGTCTGGGTCTTGTTGGAAGACAAGGGGTAATAATGAATCATGTGATCTTCATAATGCTGGAGGTGTCAATGTCACTAAGATGCATTCAGTTATAAGCTGACCAGTAGTTAGTTATGGAGTAGTTGCTTATGTATGCATGATCATTGTCTTTCACCAAGCAAGCTCTCTTGTCTTCCATATTATTATTGATTGGGTTGTAGGCCACTTTTCCAGCCTTTAAAGGTTGGGCAGGCATTAAGAATGACAATTACCAATACATTGTCTTGGCAAGACAGCAACCACAGATTTTACATGGAAACACCGGGCTACCTGTAATGTAACTCAGTAGGTATTTTGACTCTGAGAGTAGTAAGGTACTGTGCAGAGTGCATCACACGACAGGTAAGGTAAGGTAAGATAGTACGGAGTATTATTATTGAACTACCTATCATTTTAAATAGAATCTTCTCTGACTTCTGTGGGGTTTCCAAAAACAGTCTAAGGCAGGCTGATACCGATCGGCTGGTCATATTGTGAGACAAGTCAGTCGGATCCATGACAACCTGGAAACAATCAAATAGACATATCTCTGGATTATAACTGGCTGCAGGGAGACAAGTTACGATACAATACCATTAATACTCTCCAACATGTCCGGATCCCGGCATTGTCCGCCCTTACCGCCCCTAAATTCCATTAGTAAAGGCGCCCTCATTTGTTACCATACATATCACTTTTCCCATTTTTCAGTCAATGAGTGTACGATCTATTCCGAAAACAAATTCAGCCCAGGCCTAATAAGGCAAGATGTCATATTACATTGAAATTACGGCTTAGGAATCGCAGCCACCTACTCTTCTTATCTTCATAAAACGTCCCACTCTGGAGATACCTACTTTTCTTGCCTCATCTGACGTCTATTAGGGTATTATTATTCGCACTGCTTACAGTGTACGAGTCCTTCCCCATCCCCTTCATTTTCCTCTCCTTCTTTTGTCCCTCTACCTGAGCCCTGTCTGGTTTGGGCACTGTGTAGTTTTCTAGACTTTTGCATTTGTCTTACCTGTCAGGTTTACCTGTCGCGTGCCTGCATACGCATACCGCCGCTATCCCGCACCCGGCTTCCAGTTCCGCTTGCCTTAAATCTTTATCGCAAATCATCCACCAACACACCGACACTACCCACACGTATACATCCTCGAATTATTATACTCCCTGGGGGGAGTCCCTGCAGCAAACCTTTCTCCTTCTCCTCCTCCTCTTCTTTCACCATCCATGTATCTCGCTCAGACTCTCGATCAAAGTGCCTCGTCAGGGCTAGGTCACCTTATCAAAGAATTGTGCCTCGATAACAAACCATAAAGATGATGGTTCCTAGGGCTTTTCTTTTCAGCTCTGTGTCTTCAGCGAAGCCATTCAAGCAAGATGAGAAGGATTTGCAGCCAACCTCAACCTCCGCCGTGGCTTTTTTCACAGCGCAGGACGTCGAGTTTCCCAGCGAGGCGAACTCTCATGCTACGAGCCCAGTAGTGATTCCTCCGAAACGCGGACCTCGCGTTACATCTAGGCTTGAGAACAACACAGCCCATGGCTCAAAGACACCCCGGAATCAAACGATATCTCCGCGGTCATCTTCGTCCGCTTTGCGCGATCGTTATGTACCCACGTCCATTGCGTCTATCCTAGAAGCCACCGCGATTCCAGTTCCCCGACGCACCTGGAGTGTGCGAGAGTCGCGGAGACTACCGCGCGGAGACCACGTGCAGGAGTTTAGCAGGTTACTGATGGAAGGGGTCAGATCAAGAGATGACCATTTGCTGGAAGGAACTGGTAGTACTGCGCTTGACATCTTGCTTAGCCCTCCAGATGAGAGCGAGAAGTCGGTGGTTGGCAGCGATTACGAGTCTGAGACACCGTCATTCTCAGGACAATCTATGTCTCTCGAGTCGATGCCGTCCTTAGATCACGATCTGGATTCTCCATCTAGCCTTCCTGTGCCACCTACCCCAGCAAGCCAACGGAGCCCTTCAGAAAGAAAATACCGCCGCCCACCACATCCAGAGGATTGTGCTTTTGACCATCCTCTGCTGGATAGGGATCTGTCGGAGTCAGATTGGAGCCTGGCTGATTCGCAGCCCTTGTTTACTGATGCCACTCCTTCCAAATCCCCTAGCCCATCCCGGTCATTTCCTCGTTTAGGCTCCTCGTTCAAATCCAATCTGACAGCATCTTTACGAGCAATCAAGTCCGCTGCTCAAACCGTTTCGACCTTTGCTTCCCCGTCGGTACAACCAGAGGATTTCCTCACGCGGTCTTTGTTTAATATTACTCCAGAGATGACGGACGACCGACGGCCTCCGCCTATGAAAGAGCCGCCATCACCCGCCCTCAGGCGGTACCTGAACCCGATTCAGGTTTCACCGACCGAGATGTATGCCTACCAAGACTATCCACATGAAACCCTGGATTCTCGGAACTGCCCCGTATCGATCCAAATGCAGACATACCACCGTTCAGGGGGGCGTGGACGTCGCAAGGGCAGGTTTCACCTCGCCGGCTCCGCAAGCCGAGATCAACAATTACTACCATTCGATCCAGAGCATCCGACCTTCTCACGTCCCCGAGAACCGCGGGAGAACAGTGATTTTCTGCGCATGGTGGTTCTCGAAATGAACATGAGACGTAGCGGAAAGCTTCGGGACGACATCCCTACCCGGGCGCGGATCTGGTTACCACCTCGGAAAAGCATCCAGCATCGGGTTGCAATCTACGACTTTGATGAACATGACCAAGAGGAAGAGGCCGAGCATGTAATCCCTCCAAGATGGGTCGGAATTTCTGCCTGATACGGATACATGCACCTCTCCTTCCCTATCTGGGTATAACAACTGTTGAAACCACGCCCACTCCCTTTTCTTTTCTTTTTTTTTTTTCTTCTCTTTTTTCCATTACCTTCCTCGATCTCAGTATCTATCTTGGATTCAAATCCGAGCTTTCAATTTCCCACATCATGTACATATTCGGAGACCTTCCTGGTTGGAGCATAGACAGCACGGCGCATGGGTGGACTGGTGTCGTCATATACGATGGTGTCATTACATTCTCATAGGGGCAGAAGGATCGTTTCCCTTCCTAGCCTGGTACATATAGCGAAGCGAAATGGAACCTTCTTTCTTGTTTTACGGAGTACGGAGTACTAAACACACCTTTTCTAGCCCATGTTGAAACCTTTAAGAAACCAGAATTACGAACGGAAGTAAACAGTCAGCCAAGGCAACCGAGTAAGAACGTGTGAAAACAGCAACATGTGACAGTGGGACGATCTGACATCACCATCACACCGTCAGCGTCTCTCTCCTCTCATTCTTGCTACACGAATAATCTCAGTACTAGTAAATACCAGGGGTATTACACTACGGAGTACGTAGGATACCTGCCTGGATCAAGGATTATTAATGCCTAAATCAGTACTCTGTAAAGGGCCTGAATGCGTAGCCGGAGCAACATCCATGGTTTCATCCATTATTCTGGCTGGTTGCCTACTCGCACGGAGTCCGTATGCAAGCCTTATCTCTATCCAATCGTATCAAGCAGTTAAACTTGGGTTCTTGTACGATGATGCAGGGATCGACTATCTTCTCCGGACTCCATACCCCTGGTACTCCATAGTGAAGCAAAAATGAGATACGGTGCTAAGCTATCGTTTCTTGATACCGTGTGGGAAGCTATGGCTATCATGTCCGAATGAAAATGAGCATAGGGTATCTATCTTCTTCTTGGGCACCAGTGCAGCTGCTAGACTCCTGGGCCTGTGTGTCCTTCGTTTTGTATGTCGTAATAGGAGTCATGGACTAGGACAATTTTCACTGCAGGGCGAAACATAGGATTCGGGACCGGATCTATTTCTCGGTTCATATTGGCCGGGACGTTTAAGCGGCGCCAGATATTCATCGTTTGGGCTGGAATCCTGAACAACTGAATTAGATGCTGGTTATCAGTAGTGAAATTATCTTGTATGACTCACTCTCCTCATCCAATAGCGTTCGGTGCTTCCAGCTCTCTTCTACCCAGTCAACAGTGACTATATGTGGTACCTTCTTCCCGGACTTTCTAGACCACCACCCTCGGAGCGAAGATATTTCTGCTGCTGAGCTGTCTGGATCGACAACCACATGGGTGATTGAGGGATGGCTTGAGGACTTGGCAATATTTGCGCCTGCAAATCTCGCAGTATTGATAGCAAAGCGCAAGCGGCAGTGGGCATCCGATGGAGTCACACTTTCAGACTCCGAGGCATCGCCATTTTTATGTGGGAAGAGTATCGTAAGACTCTTGAAGAGCCACCCGCATGGCATTTCATGTCCAGAATTGACCCTTTCTTGAATGCGTTCAATGAGCTTCGTGGCAGCCTCGGGACACTGGGAGATCTTGAAATGATGCTTCGTCATTTGTTTCAGAACCTTGACGAAATCAGCAATCGTTCGATGAAACATTATGCGGAAAATGTACAGCACTGAGCTCCTCGCTCGTAGTGTTACGAGCATAACTATCGCCAAATTGGTCGACATTGGCCGTCACTTCTTCTTGCTTCCCCGGCGTGGCGAAGAACATGTGCCTAGAGCAAGTTGAGCATAGATCCGTCTAGTCCGCGATAGAAGAACATACCTAGGCTCAAAAGGGAGGAGCAAGTCAGGTAGGCCTGCGTCAATCTCGTTTTGCTTCACACAATCGAGAATCCAGGACGGCCTGATGATATCTACATCCCCGCTCTTCTGTAAGGAGGCAGCTTTTACCGTTCCTATCGAGTGGGTCAGCCAAAGCAGACCACATTATCAGCCTAGGAGAGCATTACTTCTGTCCGCCACACAAATTGTGTGAGGAGCTGCATTGTTAGTTTGGAAAAACATGCCACCGTTGGCTTTGACTAGCTGCTCTAGCTCAGGCTTTGTTTTCTTGACGGGCGCATTCGAATCTGTCAGAATATCTGGCTCGCATGGTTAGTACATTATCGATCGACAGGTCGGACTGCCAATGCAAAACTCACAAAAGTTCAACCCGTCAAATATATGCCCAGAGGGGCCAGCATACTTGACATATTCGTCTATGTCATATCCAGCAACCGTGAGAGGCTTCTTTGTCGTCCTCTTGACGCGCTTCCTACGGGAATTGTCCACACTCAATTCCTTTTCCCGGTGCTCCTGCTCGACGTTCGACTTGAGATCTAGGAATTCCTGCACAGACAGAGCACTTTTCCAATCTTTGTCCATGCGCAGTCTTTTGAAACGTGGAAACCGCAAAGTCAGTCCAATCCGAAACTGGTCACTGGCTGATACGGAGGCTGCTTTGACACAAATGACGACCGAGTCTTCCGGCTTGATCCACATGTCGGGTCGCTCATATTGAGCCTCTCGTCCTGCCAACTCAATATACGCCGTTGGAGGTTTCTTTGGGTTCCACTCCATCCATTTACCATCGGTGTGGTGACGAATATTCGCATAATCAGCGGCATTAAAGCCACCTCCAACCTTGCAGAAGGAGTAGCACTTTGACGCGCTCGCACCTTGAGAGGCATGAGCATCGTCAACTCTTAGCCCGCAGAGAAAGCTTGAAAGGTTGCCGCCTCGACGACCGGAGCCATAGTACCCGCCGATGACGATGAGGTCTAGGGACTCTCCAAACTCGGTCATGTACTCAGGCTTCACCTTCATCCAGTCGTCGTGCCTCTCATTCAAACGGTACGGCGACCTAGGGTTCTTGAGCACCAAACCCTCGGAAGCTTCAGCAACCACCTTTCTGAGCGCAGCTTCGACTTCATCTTTAGTTGTAGCTTCTTCATAGGGATGTATTTCGAATCTGCGATGGACAGGCCGGACAGCCTTCTGCAAGGCATTGCGACGATCACGAAGTGTGTAGCCAGTTAAGTCTCGCCCATTAAGGTATAGTATGTCAAAGACACGCAGCAGCGGCCGAGCGCCTGTCGTTGAGAACGGATTCCTCTGTTCGGACAATGCAGCAGTCTTAAGTGTGCCGAAAGGTGCGGGAGCGTCTTGCTCGGGGTCCCATGTGATCATTTCACCGTCCAAAATCAGGCTCTGGACCCCATCTGCAAATGCATCCTTGAGATGCCTTGTCAAAGATCCGTTTTCATCATAGATACCGTTGCCGTATAGATACGTATATTCTTTCGCTTTTCTCGACCAGAAACGGAATCGTCTACCGCCAGGTACTGAATCGTCAGACTCCATATGGAGCTGCATGCGCTCGCCATCCAGCTTCTCCTCTATCCAGAAGACGGGATCCTCCTCCGTCGGTCTCATTCGGCCGACCATTCGGTCCAATGAATGCATTTGGAACTGAGCCAGCTGCGGCTGGAAGCATTGCATCAGGCTGATTCCTCTGTCCTCCGCGTCCAGCCGAATATTCGGATCGTACAACTCCCAGCAGACACGCCGGAGACTGCTCGAAATACTGTACAAATTCTCCGCATCCGGATGCCAGACATCAAAGAAGGTCCGCTCTGTCGCTCCCACCTTCATCTGCCGGAGGATGATCCGAATCAACCACATGAGTTCCTCGGGATTCATGCGCCGGTAAAACTCCGCAAGAATCGGCAGCTGCTGCTCCTCCTTGGAAGCCGCCGATAACTTGTCCAGCTTCTCGTTTACCTCCTCGATCAACATGTCTCCCACATCAGTCCGCATCGGTCGCTTCGAGATGACATCGTAACATCGTCCCGCAAAGTCGCCCGCCATCCTGGACGCAGCTGCTTGCCCAGGCAGCTTCCAGTTCAGCAGGTTAAAGCCATCCTCTGAATTCTTGTCAATTTTCATAATCTTGACAAGCATTTTGCCGATGACCTTCTCCTTTATTCCGTACATGGCCCGGTCCCGATCCTTGTCCGGAAGAATCAGTCGAAAGGCGGGGTATATATCATCGCCCACTTCTTTCCTCCACCGCGAGATAAAACGCTCGATCACATCGCGTCGTCTCTCCAGCGGGTTAAGATTCGCTGCTGATTGACCATGCGGACCGACTTTCCTGCGAGCCGCAACCGCTCCGGCTGGCTTCTTTTTGATTTCGCTCAGAGGGTTGAAGAGGGTCTGGAAAAGCTCATGGAAGGGTAGCGTTGGGGAATGGTTACGCGGGCGATTGGGATATCTATAGCAACAGGTAGCATGGTGTCAATGACTTTGTCTCTCAACACTAAGTAGGATTTACAGAGGAAAGTAGCGTGCGGGGAGCCTCACTTTTCGTCAATGTCAGACTCCTCATCTCCAGCAGGAACATTTGGGTGCTCCTCATCAGGATTGATCTCGTCAGAGTCCATTCTGTATCAAGTTTCGTTCGCAAGTCAGGATCAAAGTATATTCGGAGTGAAAGCCCGCTCCACCATACATGTTGTTGTCTAATATATGGTAAGTTAAGAAGTGTGTTGATCCATGAAGATTAGGCTGCAACGGCCCCCGATAAGATAGCGACACATGTGACATTACATCACCTGCCTAACCACTCTCATGAATAGTAGCATAATTCAGATTTTGTTATATTTGGACAAAATCCACAGTCATCAGACATTATATATACATCTTTGGACTTGTATAAAATATGCCAACACGCAATCGCCCGTCAGATGGAAATGCTAGCTTCGTGGTGTATTTCACATTATCAGCTTCTCGGAGCCTGTGGCTGCGAGGACGGCCCCGCGAGCTTCGTAAGAATTGCAATAAATCTCTTGCTAATTCCCCATGCAGTAAGCCCGACAAGTGTCTCGCAGCCAACCTTTAAAATGCGCTCAGGACCATGGGGAGCACATATGTCCCCTACACCTGTGACGTTTCCTCTCATAACATGACCCTCGCGGACAAAGAGCTGGACTAGCTCGTCATCACACGGCCGGTCTAGGTGGATGAATGTTGGTTCGCGGACTGGATGATGCCGTGGTCCATATCTTGAGTTGGGATCTTGGGATATTTGAACATGACATGAGCCATACGCCCATAAAGTGAGTACTGAAAGATATACAGCGACCGGCTCGTGAAACGCATTCGTCGAATACCGTCTTACGTGCCACAAGGTTGTGCCTGCATGTATGATCGCAAGACGAGCTTTGTACTGGTCGTGTTTGATCCAGCGTAATATGTAATGCCACTCAAGGGCTTGTTGATGCTCGCTCCAGCGAATCTTGCCCGTTGCCAATGAGGTCGCCAGAGAACGAATTTCACGGAATGGGGCGAGGAGGACAATTCGCGCAGCATGGAGGTGTAGCACGGTAGGATGTTCAAGTCCTGCTGCTTTGGCGATAGTGCTGTTTGCCGTCCAATGCAAAATATCCAAGCAATCACACGCGCTGTTGCGCCATTTCGAGTACGATGGAATGCCTGGTAGCCAGACAGACCCCGATGGGATAGCGGTATCAAGGGACTGCTTCTTTGCAGTCGGATTCCAGAACGATAAGGGACGGCGAAAATAGTCACCGACCTCCCACATTCGATGATAGAGAGCGTGAATAAGAAGGACATGGCTGAATTCTCCGATCTCTGGGACGAGCTTCTTCTCGACATAGATTGTGAGCACCGCATTGTAAAGAGAGATATCTCTCGAACCTAGAAGCGATGTCTTAGTTAAGAATCTCTGCTTGCCACGTTAGAACGTACCAGAAGTTCTCTCGAGGACATTCCGCCAGGGTTCGGCCGAGTGAGACTGCCAGAGATTCTCATGAGACGGTAATGAACACTGCCCGTCGTCCAAAGACAGCAAAGGCCGGTGATCAAAGTGGTACGCGAGGGAACAATCAAGTAGCTAGCACTTAAATGTCAGGTCGAGATATGACGGAACATAATCAATGGTAAATCTTTCGAATGAGCATACCCATATCAGATACCCGGTCCGTCTCCGTATTTCATCTTGAATCCAGTCATGCCACTTTTGTTCCAGCGGAAGATCACCATACTGGGCTGTTGACTTGCTTGCGGCGCAGAGCAATCTCTCTTGAATGGTGAAATTGACAAGGTCGCTGAAAGCATTGAGTGTAGACACTTTACTTTGCTCGTTACTACTACTGTGTACCAGCCCGATGCAGTTGAGCGTCATAGCCTGAATCAGCCACAACGGTGTTTGTTCGAAACGACATTTCTCTTTCTGGGCCGCCATACTCGGTCAGCGACTAATAGTCCGCCAGCGGGAAATCGAATGTCTTACCTCAATATTGATAGCCCGCCGAAGGAATTCGTCAAACGCTGTAGTACACTCATCAAGAGCGGCGAGACCAGAGAAACGACAGCCGACTGCTGATATAGCCAGTGTCACAAGCCAATGACAGCTGTTTGGATTGAATGTAGGGGAATGGAACATGGGATACACGGGCTGGAATGAGTCGAAGTAAAGATGTACGAAGCTTGAAAGAGCATCCGCACTGGGAAAGTTACCAGTCTCGAATTTGGGATAGAGAGGGTTGTCCGTGTGGCATAACTGGAGGAACGAGTGGTAGATTTTATCATAGGTCGGAGCTTCGATCTGACGATTGAAGACCGCTTCCTCATCCGAAATGAAGTCTGCCCTCACCTCCTGAATCAGTGGAAACGAGAATTGATGTAGCGTATCATGCTGATGCAAGGGTGACAGAATCTCAATAGGCTCTGCAGACGATCTTGACCACGAAGTTCTGTTCCGTCTGTACTTTGGTAGTCGAGCTCCAGCGCCGTCCACGTAGAAATCTGCCGACCGCTTGGTGGCGTTTGAGGGCTCCGAGTGTAACGAACCTTCCCCAATGCTGCGGGAAAATCGGCCCGGACTCTCCGCATCCGTGTCCAAAGACATGTGCCCGGAAGGGGTGTGTGAGTGATTTTCTCGCGCAGACGGACTCACCTGCCGCATGCTGGTGACAGGAGGTAGCCATGCTGTTCGACTCACCGGCTCGTCCAGGATACTCAGCTGGTCCGAGAGCGGAGGAAGCCTCGACAGAGAATGATCGCTCGTTGTATCGGGGAACATATCATTAGGCAGCCAATTCAAGGTAGAAAGCATTGATTGATCTAAAAACGGCGGATCGAACCCGAGTTGAATTTGCTGGCCTCCAACTCCCGTCAATTCCAGGTTGAGATTGGATGTGGCTGCTCCTGGTTGCTGGATGTTTCTCGACCGATGGTCGAGTTGTGAAGTCGATTCTTGTCGAAACGTCTGAGCGCTAGCTGCTGGCAATTGTGAATACAATTGCTGCGAGCTCAAATCATCATACCCAGACAACGATACACGTGTGTCGTGCGAACCACCAGGATCTGACAAGAGCATTCGAGAGTTCAAATCACCCGGCTCGTTTACTGGTGGACCATTCTGATGCTCTGACGATTCCCCATGAGGAGGTCCGTGCAGCCCCTCTGCAGGCGTGTCCTTCGATGATGTATCCATACGATGTGAGCCCGTGAGATCTAGTTGAAATTCGGTAATTTGAAATCTCGGAGGCTCATTTCTTGACTGCTCTCTGATATCCGCTCCGTGGACATCAACACCTGCTGTTGAAGAAGGGGACTCATGCTGAGTAGCTTGCCCGTAAATCGTACTGTTTCCATCAGAAGACAGGTTCTGGACCACTTCCTTCCGCGTTTTGGCTTTGGAGCGTCGTTCCGTTGGATACTGGCATTCTAGAGACCTGTTCTCACACCGTACGCATGGGGAGCCACCACTGCATCTTACTCTGGCTACTGCGCATTTGTAGCAGGCTCTGAAGGTCTTGACCGTAATGCGATGCATACGATCCTTTCCTCCTTCGGGTCCCAAGGTATGATGACTTAGTTCATGGCGATGGAGTGTGTCACTTGCGACATGGGTCAGCTTTGAGCGCCATTATCAGTTCGCCTCGGTGAACACGCTCATGCCGAGGCTGCAACTGTCATACTGGTGTCACGAGAAAGAAAAGACAGATCACATACGTTCTTGAGAAATGACGTCCACACTGCGCACATTCGAAGGGTTTCTCCTTGGTGTGGCTTCGAAAATGACGCTTGAGATGCTCAGGTCTTCGAAAAGTGCTATGGCAAATCGAGCACTTGGTTTGACCAGGGGCGGAGTTGAGCCGAACTTCACGAACACGATTGTTGCTTGTATCGTCCGCTCCTGATTCGGCCTCATGGCGGTTCGCTACTTCTACCATGTCATGGGTTAATCCTTGGCCGGTGTACCATCTATTGGGCCGCTCTGTTGCAAGTATTACAAAGAACAAGTGCGTACCTTGGCCAGCGTCGCTCTTTTCTGGGGACATTGCGCCTCGTGGACGATTGATCGAGATGAAAATCAGCAGGATTTGGCATTGCAGCTGCGGGCATGGAGATCACAAGGTCCTTGAAGAAAAGGAATAAGTTTCACGGAAGATCCAAAAGCGCCAACATCTTCATGATCATTGTAAGTGGCAAGCAAGAGCTCCTCAGGTTCAAGAACAGCTCCTGATGGTAGTACAGCAAAAAGTAAAATGCGGAGGCTGACTGCCCTCAGACTTGAGGAGACGGGAGTAGTACCTTGGCTTCAAAAGGACTAGGTGCAAAGTAGAAAGCGGGGGAGACAACACCAAGACCAAGAGAGAAGAGAAGTGAGAACGGGGTTTCCTTCCATCGTCCCAGACGAACTTCAGTTAGTCTAAGGTAGATACTTAACTTGAGACTTGAGACAAGGGAGTCCGATTGGATGCTTTGGGGCCTTTAGTCATTTCATGAGGTGGAATTCCCCGCACTTTCAGTTAGTCTCTCGGTTAATTAAACGGATGAATAGTGGCAAGGCTAAAAGAAAAGACTCTAAAAGACCAAGCTTAGTATTTGATAAAAAGGGCATTTCAGGCTGGGGGCCACTGGAATCTGAAGAAGTGCTGGAAACCTCACTTAAGTTACCTAGGTATATGCCTGTTACAACAAGAGTGCTGGAGGAGTTCTCCAGACTAATTATTGGGTTCGATCTGGAATCCTACAGACCTTTTTGGATGCATTTGATGTTAGAACTTAGAACAATATTATAGTCAACGCATGCCACAATCACCAGGAAAACGGACTTTCTGTTGTAGATAGATATCTCACGACATGCTGTCTATGATGCTTTGCTAAATAGCACTTCGTACCACCATCGACTTTCTCTGCCGAGGCTGAAGCGATGGTCAAACTGAAGTATCCCTCACAGAGCATGGTCATATCCAAGTACTTTGCTTCCTCAATTGCAGAAGCTGTATCTACCTTCTACCTTACTCCGTCAGACGTATTATTATTCTGCCCTGAGTGACGGAATCTGACGCACCGTGCACGGGCTTTGTAGATTCTCTTAGCTCCGCGCTCGGCTTCCCCAATGAACATATGTAAATGTCTCCATCTGGCGCCATGGTTCATTATCCTGGCCCCTACGACTTGTTCAATTCGAGGTGAACATTATTGGAGATATTTTTTCAGACCCCAATCAGTGGAAAACGGGAATAATTCTTGCCATTATCCTTAGAACAGGCAAGGCGACGCAGGTCTTGTGAATGGCGAGTCCGACTATCACTTCGGACCGTGGTCATGTCAGCGACACCGTGACAGCTCCGCAAGGAGCTACTGCTGCTTTCAATGCAAGCTCTCCTCAGGCTGCCTCGCACAAAATGGACATCAAATCCAGGGGAACTGCGGATGCAAAACATCATGCTGCCGATACGGATCATCCACCAGACGACAGATCCGCAGAACTCCCTGAGCCTGGGTCCGTCAGGGGCAAGATTGGAATGTTTGCCGCACAGAGTATGCAGAAGGCATCGGAGGGAGAGCGTGATGAAACAGCGACTTTCAGGTCACGGACTCCCCAGCAAACTGCTGCCCAAGCCGCTATGCAGAAACCGCCGGTGCCAGGGAACAAACCTGTAACCTTGGCAGTGACGATTTCAAATTCGGAACTGGAACAAGCAGGGCCTCAGAAAAGCGACGATAGAGGAGGCCCTGATCTTCTAACACCTAAACCTGTTCGCACCATGACGGCGGGCGGCGATACATTTGAAAAACTTCTACAAGACAACAGAGAACTACCCGTCAGAAACCTACCAATTCCCCCTCCAAGGCCTGCAACGCAGCCAGCTACTTCACCCACGCTCTCAGATATCGCTCCAGTGTCTGCTACAAAAACCCGTCCTACTCCACCTCTGCCTCGGAAAGGAGGTGCAAAATCCATCCCAAAAAGTCCTAGTCCCAGTGAACTGAAGAACCATGGAGGACAACAGAGCTACGAATCGCTTTTAAATCCCGCCATGGATCACACAGGTGCTGATGAGGCCAGACCTAAGCCCCCCCCGCGACCAGGCGCTTCGCCTAGGACACACATTTCCTACAGTGATCCTCGCCTTCTGCTGGAAGCGCATGAACATCGCAAGAGTTCTATGCCTAGCTCTCCATTGTTAGCCAGTTCACCACAAAATAACGGTAGTAGCCCAGATTTCATCGACCACTCCTCTGGTCTAGACGAGAAAGCACTGTCGGATGCGATAGTTGCGTCTTCACTGGCCTCAAGAAAAGCATCATCGGCAAAAAAAGTTCCTCCACCCCCTCCACCACAACGGCAACCCGGAGCCCGTTCGCTCCGCCATCCGCACACAGCCAACAGTGGCTCCCCACGCAGCTCCAGTCCCACGCCAAGCTTGCGACCCACTCTCCGGACGCCGACTAAGGCTAGTGAAGAGGAATTCGACCATCACAAGCACAGAAAGCACATTATACACAAACACCCACACAAACATCACGAGGGTGATCGAAAACGATGGCAAAGCGAAGTAACCGAGAAGGAGAGGAAGAGGTACGAGGGCGTTTGGGCGGCAAACAAGGGACTGCTGATTCCTATCAGCAATTCCAAGCAACGATCTTCAAATCAGGAAACTTCCAGCGACGGTTATCCTCCAAGTGCGTCCGAAATGGTCCTGAACATTGTTGTTCGCGACATATGGTCCCGAAGCCGTTTGCCGTCAAGCATTCTGGAGCATATCTGGAATCTCGTTGATCGGCAGAAGATTGGACTATTGACACGAGAAGAGTTCGTCGTCGGCATGTGGCTGATAGACCAACAGCTCAAAGGCCACAAGCTTCCAGTGAAGGTGCCAGACAGTGTCTGGGACAGTGTGAGAGGCGTACCCGGCATCAGAATACCGAAGGTCCCTTTCCGATAACGCGGGAGATCCATACACCCACGCACCAGCGCTGAACACCGCAATGCTAGAAACAACGGCCAAGACTGTTGGGCTCTCCGCTAGCTTCGTGTTTATGCCCACGCAGCTCCGGGGACCGAGTATCGACTTTAGCATGAAACCAAGTATTTGGAATATGCCTTCCTTGCATCCATATCGGGATCCACTTAAACGCTAACTATACATAGCACCATGCAGAAATCATGAAAACGTGATGCTGTGATCAAGGCTATTAGATACTACTGTCATTGTCACACAGCCATAGGACATTAACAACATGTACATCGGGGTACCAAGACTAGTAACAGCTACCAATTCTCGGTGTCCTTCGATGTCGGGTTTCCGCTTCCAGCCCAACAGTGCAGATCTGTGTCACCCCTATTTGAAGTACAAATGCATACGAGCGTTAAGTCCTGGCCACTAAAGCAATTGAGATCTTTTTTGTGAATAATATCTGTAGCATGGCAAGATTCGTTAAAACCTCGGGGATAGAGTACATATCACGTGACCATGATATTTCTGGATGCTCCTATCAGAAAGTAGGATCTTCTTTTTGTAAGCGATTGTCCTCTGTACTCTCATCATAAAAATCCATTTCTCACCGCAGCTATTTTATCAAAACCATCACTGATGATGGGGGGCCTGATAAGTCTCTTCCATATCCTGGGGATCCATATCATCTTCAATTGACCGAGTTAATATTAATGCGAGGTGGACTATCTAAATCCTTTCCTGCACCAAAGCAAATCCCGAACCGTGGGAATTCGGGATTTGGATCGTTTGGCTACGGATGATTAAGCCACGGCACGACACCCCAGCTTTTATCAGTAACTATATCAGACCACATCTCTGGGACTCCGATTGACCAGCACCAGATCGGTTTTTGTTCTGGGAGAAAGGTTCCGTGATCGTACGGCCCCTGTGCCCAGTAGTTATGCGCGAAGGCGACCTTTCGAGGCGGTGGGTGCTATATAGATTGCTTTCTCAAAGCCCGCGCGAGACTACGAGTCTACGACCAAACCCCGTTGAATGAATGGACTCGAAACTCGAAATTGCAGTGATTAATTGATCGGGATTTCGAGATGGTGCTGGAGAACCTCCCGCGTCCTGCTAATACCGGAATCACGCCAGTTACACAATCCAAGACTCCGCGGCCCACTGTGGTTCGGAAGAAGTTTGCCAAACCGCCAGTCAAAGTAGCTTGCCTGACATGGTAAGCCGTCATGATCCTTTATGTTTACTGATCCATGTCGCCCTCGTGGTGGCTTTTTTTTTTTTTTTGACTACTTGCGCTTCTCTACTCCTCTCTTTTTCGCTGATTGTTGCCTTTGATGCTGACTCTGATGCGACAGTCGTGCATCGAGGACGCGCTGCGATGGTCAAGAACCATGCTCCAACGTATGTTTACTTACCCTATGCTGACTCTCCTATGTGTGTCTCTACATATGCTGAGACAGGTCTTTCACTTGGAAGTGTCTTAGCAAGAAGAAGAAATGCTCGTACCTGCCCAGTAGAAGAGGCGGTCCGAGGAAGAAGAAAAAGAGCTCGTCTCCTCCGGATTCAAGTACCCGGCAGGATGATTCCCAAGACTCTACCCTCACACCAGCCTCTGGCTTTAATGACTGTATGTGAGGCGAACTTCTCTGCAATTGCAGCACTAACCTTCAAACAGCCTCGGCGATCTTTGGTCAGATTGATGTACTCTCCTTGCCAGGAGCTGGGCTGAGAGCGTTGGATTTCTCATCGGATGTGAATACCATGTTTGCTGATCTCTTCACTTCGAACAATGGCAGCAACACCCAGGCCCAGACGGAGCCAACACCTTCGCCTTCAACCATACCATCGCTGTCTTTGGTCAGGACATATGGCAGCGAACACGACATGTAATGCTTCACTTTGACCAGTGACAGCCAGAAGGCTTGGTGACGCTGATTCGGATATAGATTGAATGCATACTACGACTTCGTTCACCATTACTTTCCCATACTTCCACCACGAGTCGCTCCACGCTGTCCAGATCGGCCAATCGATTCCGCTGGTCACTATTCGTCGTCTCCTTCTGAAGAGCCTTTACTAGCATACAGACCACGGTCTCCCCTCAGTCTTGCAATTTCCGCCATATTGGCCCTGGTACCGCATCCGGACGATCCTGAGCCCTTGTCTCCAATTTCTGTGCTACGACGTAGAACTTATGCTCATACCTTTGCGCAACTAGCTACTGCGAGTGTTGAGGATGATTGCGAATTACAAGCTTCGTCGACAGATCCGTCCCAGGCATTGTCGAACAATCGACCCATGATCGATCGGGAGCCCTTTCATCCACGAACACCTGTGGAACTCGAAAGCCTTCTTGCGTTGCTGATCCTCTGCGTGTATGAATATACACAGCGAGGAAATCTGCTCAAAATGAGGTATCGGGCCGGCCAAGCCTTGGCGATCGCGCTGGATATGTCTCTTCAGTCGCTCGGGGAGGAGCATGATGAGTGCGCAGAGGCTCGGCGGAGGGCCTGGTGGATGACGGTACGGTCATTGATTAGGTATCATCGCGGCGCGCCCACTAATTATCTGCTGTCTAGTACTATTGCGTGCTTCAGGGTTCAATTGTCAGCACAACGGTAAGCCAGCGTCGATCTCGATCACATTCACGAGACTCTTTGAGTTTTAAAAAATAGCTAATCCGGGGTCTACAGCCGCTCTCCATAATCGCCAACGACCCTCAGTTCGTTACACCTTATCCTCGTTTCTCTGCAGATCCAGAGGCAAGTCTTCCGCTCCGGCTTCAGCGCTTCCATGATGATCTTCAAGCAAATCACACCACAAGCAAAAAGCACCATTCTGACCGGTTTCCAGGGATGGGCTGTTCTGATGCAAGCCCAGCAAGTGTTGGCCTCCGCAACTCAATTCGTCATTGACTTAAACAAATGCATGTCGACTGGCGCCAACATGCCTTACATACACGAAAGGATGCAGCAACTCGACGCCTGGGCTAGCTCCGCAATAGCGCAATCAAATCTCCTTCCAATGGTTCCTCAATCTATGGGCTGTGGTGACGAAGTGGAGTATACAACCGCCCATAGCATACGCGCTATCGCGCGAATCAAGCTCTTTAGGTAAGCAATCTTCGAAAAAAAGCTCGAAAACTTTTCACAAAGGTACTGATACGAAGTTAGTGCCCAAATCAAGGTACACCGATTCAGGGCGTTCTCGGATATTCCAATCTTCATCAGGAAGCATTGCGACCTGACCGCAGCCAATCCCAACAACATGACATCGGGTGATTCGGCGTCCAAGATGTCCAAAGAACAAGACGGTATGGCGAACATCTCGTGTTGCAGCAGCAATCTGGACTCCTTCCCGCCGCCGCCGTCTACATCGAGCGATTGCACAACTTCAGCCTCTTCCGCCGGCTCTGCAACATCCGACTATCACTCCGTGGTACAATTCTCATTTGCCAGTGGCTTCCCATACAGCAGCCAGCACTCCGCCAAAGTCTGTCTGAAAGCGGCTCTTACGATCTCACGCATGTTCCCGAGCCTGCCCCTGCCACAGCCGCTCTACGTGTCGAGCGGCAGTAACACGCCCAACCAGGGACTGCCCTTATCGCCACAAAAGCAGCTACCGCGGACAATGCCATCGTTCGCATGCTGCCTGATGCAAGGAAGCTACGCCTTGTTGATGATATTCTACAAAGCGACAGTGGAGAAACAAATGTCGCCAGATTACGGGAATGAATCCACAAACAGTGCTTCTGATCGACTGATCGAGGAAATCCGTCAAGGCTTGGAGCGTGTCATTGAAACCGTTAAGAATTATGCGATTGCTTTTGAGGCGTTGGATGGCATGAGAGGTAGGCAGCCACTTCAACGATGTCCCGGAGACAGGATTTGACTAACCCTCGTGTTGCAGACGAAATCGAAGGTGCATATCACACGGCGTTCCCTCCGGTATAATTTTTTTTTCAGTGGCTGCTGCTGTCTCTCAGAGCTTCATCATTTTTTCTCTTCATCATTTTTTCTCTTCCTTTTCCCTTTGTCGCAGAACACGATGCATATTCTTTTAGAACCAGTGATGCCCTGGTGGTCTGAGAACTGGACATTATTATCTCTTCCTTGGTTTTCAACTCAATTTGGTCATAGTATACATGCTGGCCTTGTTTCTCCCTACCAGTCACAATGAAGCACTATCACCCCTCAAGATCTCTTGTCCTCTAATTTATTGATATTCTCCTAATCGCGTACTTGGTATTTACACAGTTGCTTTCACTCGACATGACCACGTCTAGGTGTCAATGTGAAAAACCGGATTAGACGATAAAACAGAAATCAATAATCTCTAATTCTAGACCCAAAACACACTCAGAAAGTAGTAGTATGAAAAGCAGCCGATCCATATACAGGCGGAGAACCACCAGCGGGCGCCGTTCAGAGTTTGGACCTAATTCCTTCGAGTCTGAATTTGACATCCTTTAGGACTTTGCTGGAGGGTTTCCAATCATCGTATTGCCTTAATAGTTGCATTGTCTCTTCATAGAGCTCGCGGCGAACATAGTCTTCTTCGAGTATACCCCGCATGGCAAACGGTAGGATATAGGGGTTTGCAGGAGATGGGTGACTTCTTCTGACGTCTAGGGTAGCATTACTGACATTGGATGTTTCTAAAGCGAATTCAATCGCCAACCTAAGGAATGAACGTTAACCTTGTGAGCGTCAGTATCAAGGTCAAGCCAGCGCACCGATAAACAGCCTCGTCGTCATAGAGACGAGAATGACCTTCTCCAGTATAAAGGCTCCCTGCCAGCGGAGAGCTCATTTCTCTGATGAGGCCATGGTCCGAAATCCCCAGGTTACGAAGTTTAAGAACGAAACCGACTAGGTGTGAAAGACTATCAATAAGGAAAGGACGTTAGCAAGGCGGGAAAGATCAGCTGCGAAGTAATTAACATACAAGCTTGGTGCATGCACTCTACCATCCACAAAAACCGCGCGGTAGATGTAGGGATGGACCACTGGTGAGAAGAGAGATGACTACGACAAGAGTTAGACTCCAACTTCGAAGTAATCCAGTTATAAGTGATCTGCGCCTTACCTCTAGAGATACAAGCTGGTCATCGATACTCCCAATGTAGGATATCCGAACGCCAAAGTCCAGAGCGCATTTCAATGCAGCTTCGTAATCTTTCGAAACTTGGCTATAGGGTAGAGCAAATTCAAAAAGCTCCCCCGCCGAGCCACTGATCCATCGAGATCTATAATCTGAGAATGGCCCCATATTGACGCCGGCCATAGCGCACACGCCAACACGAGTGGCATTCAAGCAGCCAAAAGCAATGAGTTTCGCAACCAACATGATCGCGACCGGGACACCTTGACTGTGACATGCAACTAGGATAAAATCGGCTTTCCTTATTTCCTCCACCCAATTGAGGAGTAGCTTCCATAGCAGGTCAACGCGTTCAGCGATGCGGCCCTCCCCTTCCAGTGCAATCTTCTCGACATCACAGGCATAGCCATGACTCTCGGTCCACTTGTGGATGGCATCCGCGGCCATGGTGGCGAATCTCACGGAGGTACCTGTTGGTTGTCCAAGCACTGTCCGTATTAATGGAGCGGGAAAATACCCATGCACACCAATGGCCAATGCCTTTTTGATACCTGGGGGATCTCTGATCATATAGACATGCTTGTTATCAGGTTCTCTGCGATAATGCAAGAACCGTCCAATTGTTTGCATGAGAGAGGGTGTTTCTTTCACAGCAAAAGTGTCTGAAAAGCGAGGTAAGACTTGATTCGGTAGTACTCTCTGCAACTGCTTCGCTGCTGCTGCCTCTGACACTCGTGGTGTGGGTGTTTCCGGAGGAAGGGCCTGCACATGTGAGGGGATTTTGTCAGTGGCAGCAGCACTGCTCTTAGGAGTCTTGATTTTGATGCTGCCTTTCTTGGTGACTTCAGCTTTCTGTTCCAGTCCTGTCTCTTCCTGTAGACTGTCCTGAGGCTGGTTTGAAGATGATCCTTGCGCGTTTGAAGTCTCAATTGACCAAGGATCTGCTAGCGACACTTGACTTGAGTTATGCGATGAATCTCTGAACCAGAACGACCAGCCCGACTTGGCGTTCTTGACTTGTGCATCAACCGGACCGTCCGTTCTCTGAGTTTCCGCAGGCGGCTGGTTTGAAGACGAAATTGCATGTTTCGAATCATGGACGGGTGCATTTTCTGCGGAAGAAGGCTCAAGGGTTTCGGTTTGGGGGTTATCCTTGTGTTCTTCGGGCCTAAGCGTATCCCCCCCCTGTGGCGGCGCAGACGAACCATACCACATTTGAAACCAGGTTCGCTTTTGTATTGACGCAGGGGTATCTGTGGTCGAAGCAGATGGTGTTTGCGCACTTATCACTGGGTCGTTTGAGTGAGTTTCACAATTCTTCGGCGTTTGCTCTTCAGCGACCGGCTCTGTCGGGGTGCTTTCGGTCTCAGGCGCTCGTTCTGACTGAGCACCACTGGGAGAATCTTCAGTTGAAGTTGTTGTATAGAACCATGAAAACCAGCTACTAGCTGGCTTCGAAGACGTTTGAGCCTGACCCGGTTCCACCGCTTCGGCACCTGTCTCTGATGGTGAGGTGTCAGTTGTCGGTTTCAGTTGCTCTCCGTTCGTATCGTCTGTAGCCACTGCAGCCTCCTCGCTTGATTCTTCCTTCTGAACCGAACTTGGTGCTGGACCGGCAGTACCGAACTGGGAATCCAGTGCTGGAGTGGATGCAGAACCATCGGAAGCAATGTTGATCTTGGTTGTCGTAGCGTCCGCAGGAAGAGATCTGGTCGACGCGCCTTGTTTCTTGGTAAGCTGAAGTGAAGGATGTCTATGTTGCTTTGGAGTGTGAAGGAGGGATTCCGAGGAGGTAGTTATGCTCGATGCTACATTTTGAGCAACCGAAATGCTCTCGCGGGCAACCTCGGTAACAGGTGCCGCTTTAGAGGCTTTAGACACTGCGGGCCAAAGAGCAGGGTACCAGTTCTAAGAACGAATAACATCAGCTTTACTAGACTCAAAAATCCCAACTCTATTAATTGAAGGACAGGAAAAATTGACTCACATCACTTCCTTGCTTCTGCGAGGTTGAACGCTTTCCGCCTCCTGGAGATGAGGTCACCTCGTTGCTCAATGAGGGTGATGATTGCGACTGCGCGCCGGACGGGCTGGGCTTTATTCTCTTACGAGATCCCGTAGGCGCCATGGAAGTAAGAAGTAGAACATTACCAGGATCAATATCGATGTTCAAGTCAAGAAAAGATGGAGATGTCTAAAAAACGATGATAGAAGACGGGTCTTACAGGAGTGCCTGCTAGTGAGCCCGCCACGGTCGGCCGATCTACCACAACCAGGCTATCAGCAGAGACAACACTGATATCATGTCACATGTTATCTCTGCTCATTTTCACCGCCCTTAGATACCTGAGGCATGTAGCTGTGGCTGGTGTACCCCTTCACCGCCACAGGAGATTGGGCGGGACCCGCCAAAGACCAGAAAAATTATTTCCGCCGGGGAGAAATTTATCGGCGGAGAAGGATAACACTCTGGATAAGCCTCTCTGATCATTCTTTGACTTCCTTCTTTCGTTGTGACGTTTTTCTTTGGTCATTTAGCACCATCTTTTTTGTCTTACACTTCCGGGATCTTGTCGAGCCCGTCTCGACTACCCATTCATAGAAATGGCGATCCAAAAAAAGGTACGACAGGCTCACTAATTCCTCTACGTTGGAAAACTTCTTTGCGCTAACAGCAACCAGCACGGTAAAGGTCGTTTGGATAAGTGGTATCGTCTTGCAAAAGAAAAAGGATACCGAGCAAGAGCTGCTTTCAAACTGATCCAGCTAAACAAGAAGTATGGTTTCTTGGAAAAGAGCAAAGTCCTTCTGGATCTTTGCGCGGCTCCTGGTGTACGTGTAGTCTGACTATTCTCTTCTTCCGTTGCTTTACTGATGATAGATTAGTCGTGGTGTCAAGTAGCGGCAGAATGCATGCCCACGCAGAGCATCATTGTCGGTGTCGATCTCGCCCCAATCAAGCCAATTCCTCGAGTCATTACCTTTCAAAGCGATATCACAACAGAAAAGTGTCGCGCGACAATCAGACAACATCTGAAACACTGGAAGGCAGATACTGTTCTTCACGATGGAGCTCCAAATGTTGGTACGGCGTGGGTTCAGGACGCTTTCTCCCAGGCGGAGTTAGTCTTGCAGTCGATGAAGTTGGCCACAGAGTTCTTGGTTGAGGGCGGTACCTTTGTCACCAAGGTCTTCAGATCGAAGGACTACAATCCTCTGCTTTGGGTTTTCAAGCAGCTCTTCACATCTGTAGAAGCGACAAAGCCTCCTTCTTCCCGAAATGTCTCCGCAGAAATCTTCGTCGTCTGCCGTGGATTCAAAGCTCCAAAGCGCATCGACCCCAAGTTTCTTGACCCCAAGCATGTTTTTGCAGAATTGACAGATGCCACACCAAATAACGAAGCGCGTGTATTCAATCCGGAGAAGAAGAAGCGAAAGAGAGAAGGTTACGAGGAAGGTGATTACACACAGTTCAAGGAAATACCGGTCACGGAATTCATCAACACCACTGATCCAATCGCGATCCTTGGTACTTATAATAAGCTCAGTTTCCAACAATCTCCGGGGGGGGATCTTGCGCTGGCCACTTTGAACAGACTGGAAGAGACCACGGACGAGATTCGAACCTGCTGTGAGGATTTGAAAATTCTGGGCAAAAAAGAATTTCGAAATTTGCTCCGATGGCGCTTGAAGATCCGTGAAAAGTTTGGGCTTGTAGTCAAAAAAGGGCAATCTAAGACCGATGAACCCGAGGAAGTCGCAGAGATCGCTCCCATGGACGAGGAGTTGGCCATCCAGGAAGAGCTACAACGTCTCCAGGAGAAGGAGAGCTCCAAGCGCAAAAAGGAAAGGCGCAAGGAGAACGAGAAAAAGCGCAAAGAGATCGTACGCTTGCAAATGCATATGACAACACCTATGGACATTGGTATGGAGCAACTTGGGCCAGGTGGCGATGACGCAACGTTCTCTTTGAAGCGAGTAGAAAGAGATGGGGCAAGGGATGTCATTGCCTCTGGAAAAGTAGCGGAAAATGAGAGTGACAGTGAGGACGATCAAACCGAATCTGATATGGACGAAAGCGATGAAGAAGGCGACCAATTGGAGAGGGAACTTGATTCATTGTACGAACAGTACCAGGAACGCAGAGAAGATCGAGACTCCAAAGTACGGGCAAAGAAAGCACGTAAAGACTACGAGGCGGACGAATGGGACGGCTTCTCAGACTCCGGCAAGGAAGACGATGAGGAATCAGAGGAAGAGGGCGAGTCCCAAGCGGTTGTCAAGCCAGCAGCCCCCAACTCGGGAACACTCTCCAACAAGGCCGCAATGTTCTTCGATCAAGACATTTTCCAGGATCTGGGTGATCTTGACGACGTTGAGGACGAGGACAGCGCAATTGAAATGCAGGAGGACGATAAATCCGCTAAGAAGGACTCGGGTTCGGAGAAACAGGCGCCCAAGGATGCTAAGAAAAAGGCACAGGTCACTGAGGACTTTTCGGATAGCGAGCCTGAAGAGCTGGACGACCCACGAAAGAAAAACGGCCAACTCGGTATGTTTCCACAAGTAGATACTTTTCGGATGGACTCACTAACCAAATTTCAACCCCAGATATCGATATCATCACGGCAGAAGCCATGGCGCTTGCCCAGCAAATGGCCACCGGTGAAAAGAAGTCCCAGGACATTGTTGATGACGGTTTCAATCGGTACACCTTCCGGGATGTTGACGGTCTCCCCGAATGGTTCCTCGACGACGAAAACAAGCATTCTAAGCTCCAAAGGCCTATCACGAAGGCGGCTGCGGCCGCAATCAAGGAAAAGCTGCGTGCCATCAATGCTCGGCCCATCAAGAAGGTGATGGAGGCTAAGGGCCGTAAGAAGATGAAGGCCGCTCAGAGACTCGAGAAGTTGCGCAAGAAGTCTGCTTTGCTGGCAGATGACGAGGCGCTCAGTGAAAGGGACAAGTCGCAGGCCATTTCGAAGTTGATGAGTAAAGCGGCCAAGAAGAAGCCTAAGCAGCAGGTGAAGCTGGTTGTTGCTAAGGGAGCCAACAGAGGTATCTCCGGTCGTCCACGCGGAGTGAAGGGCAAATACAAAATTGTGGACTCGCGTATGAAGAAGGATATCCGGGCTCAAAAAAGGTTGGCAAAGAAGAAATAGAGGGACAGGAAACTATGTGTGTGATATATTGGCATTTTTCAATCATATACTTCGTGCATACGAACTGCAATTTGATACCCTCAGGGCTGCTTTACTTCGGTAGACTAGTTGAAAACCAGCAACAATTACAGGATTTACCTGGATAGCGTTGGTAATTTGCCTTTTCTAGTCCTGCATATATGTTAGCATTGACCATCATAATATTTGCAGCGGCTTGTTAAGTCGACAGTTGACAGTGAATTGATAATATTCATACTATTCCTCAAGTCTTGAAGACCCCACAGCTGTGGAGATGGTGCACAGATTATGCATAAGTAGTGAATACTAATGTATATAATAAGCCTAATATAGAAATTCTGACCCGCAGCCTAGTGGCGATGGCCTTAGTGCCTTAGGGCCTGAGGCTATCAGTGGATGACTTTATCATTTGTCTTGGCCCGCTCACCTTTCGCAGCTCTTCTTCCCTTTTCCTTGTGCTCTGTACTTCAAGTCTTATTTTCCTCTATTTGTTTAGCATTGCATTCTTGTTGATCATTCTTCCCTATGGGACTTCTGCATCTGAACTCCATATCATAGCGTGTGCTCTATTGCCTTCTTTGTCCATATTTTTACACGCGTCTACATATTTTTACCACCCCGCCGCAGACCGAGTCCAGTCCGCCCACTACGCTCCATGGGATTTTTCGATCACCTCCAGAAAGGAGGCGCTTTTTCACTGCAGGCTCAGAAGCCACAGATTCGCAAGGTTGTCCAGACCCGGCCCGCACCGCCCTCAAGATCCTCGTCGCATACCCACGTCAGATCATCGTCGCAGACCTCACCCCCGGAGAAGACCAAGAGACCACGAGACTCGACTAGCCGGTCTGTTTCAAGGGATCCTGATCGTCGTCCATCAAAGCGTTTAAGTACCCCTTTGCGAAACAGGAAACGGCCAACTCCCGAGCAACGGCTATCGAGTGACGACGATGACGCAAGTGACACGGATACATCATTTGAGTTGCGCAAGCGGGCGAGAACGGAGGATAGCGCGGAGCCTGACCTTGCGAGGCGCATACGGTCTTTGAAAGCATTTTCGGAGGAGAACGTCAAGCCACTGCCGTTGGTCCACGCTGCAGATATCACAACCAAGCAAAAGGCCGGAAACTTCAAACGAGCGTTTGGTGGGTTGGACCGGCCGACGGAGATTCTTCTGCAGTATCCTAGTGCTTCGCGGAAAGAAAGGTACGCACTTTCAGCTTTAGTGATACCCATAATCTTGTCTAACTGTTCGATTTGGTGAAGATTCAACCTCGTCGTTCCCCGCGACAACGATGATTTCAAGCCTATTGATGATATCGTTCATGTTATCGACACCGTTTCTGAGAACTATATTCCTGAGAGCGAGGCGGATTTCTTCAACAACGAGTCTACAGGCATCAAACGAAGGTTGCGACGAGCTTTGGCTCATTCGTCCGAAACGGAATTTCGAGAAGCTGTGGCCGACTACAATGATGAGATCGAACGGTTGAGGCGTAGTGGGGCCATTGCGAAACATTTGGACGCGACACATCGGTTGAACCTGCCGCTGGTAGAGCGGATATTGACTCAGATTTACGCGCGTACAGTTTCTCCCCGAGTTGAATCTCTTCGTCAGTACGAAAACGGAACAGACAACGTCTACGGGGAGCTCCTACCTCGTTTCATCAGCACAATCTTCAAAGAGACTCGACTAAAATCAGGGCAAGTCTTCGTCGATCTGGGATCTGGGGTGGGTAATGTCGTTTTGCAAGCCGCTCTTGAAATTGGATGTGAAAGTTGGGGTTGCGAGATGATGGCCAATGCTTGTGACCTGGCAGAACTCCAGCAGACCGAGTTCAGAGCACGCTGCCGGCTCTGGGGTATCGCGCCTGGGAAAACCCACCTTGTCCGTGGAGACTTTCTTCAAGAGCAAAGCATCATTGATGTTCTGAAACGTGCGGATGTTGTTCTGATCAACAACCAAGCCTTTACACCTCAGCTCAACAACGAGATTATCAACCACTTCCTTGACATGAAGGAGGGCTGCCAGATAGTGTCACTCAAGTCTTTTGTTCCTGCCGGCCATAAGATTCAGTCTCGCAATCTGTACTCTCCGATCAACCTTTTGAAGGTCAAGCAGTTGAATTACTGGTCAAACAGTGTCAGCTGGACTGACGTTGGGGGCACATATTTTATTGCCACCAAAGATAGCTCCAGGCTCAGGGCTTTCGCGGATAGCATGGTGTAAGTGAACTCGATCATTACGATTGATTTCATTACCGTTGCATGGCATTACGAGAAGGGCGCACAACCCTGGCTTTACCTCGCCTTTTTGACATTTTGATTTCCATGTCAATATTTTCGCATTGGGTACCCCTGTATATATCTGCATGTCTGCTTGTTGACATTCGTTTGGGTCATGCCTTGGAGCAATGAGTTTTCTTTTAGAAATATCCTCTCTTGTTCCTGTGATACCTTTTTGTTATGTTGATCCACAATCCTTTTTGGCATACTTCTTCAATTACATCGCAAGATGGCCTTCGTGTCATATTCCATGTGCGCGCAGTTTTGGGACGAAGGCCATTTCGTGACCAAAACCAAGTGACGTGCACTGTCTGCGGTGGCTTCGGCGAGCTGGATTGACTTTTGGGTGGACTCTTGGGTATCATTTTTTGTATGCATAGATGAGTCAGTTAGATCGGGACAATATGAATTTGATGTACATAGAACATAGTTAACCGGAGCTGGCATACTGAAGCTGGAAGCTCTTCTTGGGACCCGCAAGCCCCTAACTGTTGGTCCATATCAACCCGTCGATGATGCATCTCACGAGAATTTCGAAGCATCATTCATGGCTTCTGCTTCTCTGCCAATCCTGGCCATCCAGCGATCAATCAGCTCTTGATTCTCACGCTGTAGCCTGCCGGACCGCTCTTCGGCCATGTTAAGCTGCAAGTTCAGAGTCGCGAGTTCGTCTTGGAAATCCTATGAAGCGACCGTGTCAGCCATAAAAGCGGCGGCATGCCGGATGAATAAATGACATGCCTCGAGTAACTTGGCCTTCCCCTTCAATTCTTCATCCCTATCTTTTACGCGCATTTGAAGATGCGTTACTTCACTCTCCAAGGCATGGATACGTCGTCCATCTTGTGTACTTCTCTTCCGTAGCTTCTCCAACTCGGTGCTCACTTCCGTTAGCCGGACCTGCAACTCCGTACGAGCACGTTGGGCTTCGGAAAGATCCGCACGTGTAGCTGCCAGAATGTCAGGAACAGATGTTCCTGCCGACGACTTCCCAGCTGCAGGGATCGCTGTATGTTTGTCTCCAGCCCCTGTGAGATTTTGGGCCCCTTGAGCTCCCGCGGATGCAATACGACCAGTTCGATCGGCCAGCTGTGTATCTAGATAGTCGCCAGTGTGTTAGATCACATTACAAAGCTTCACAGTCGCCAGGCCATGGACCTTATCCAGTAGCATACAAGCATTATAGAGAGCGACATTTGCCTTTTCTCGGCGATCGCGAGCCGCCAGAGCGGCGGAGTACTCATTCCTCCAGTGAGCCATATGATAGTCTTCCAGCGATGAGGCGGGACTGTTGACGGCGGATCTTGTCGGGTTACGAATACATTGTTATTTCTGTAGATGGCACAGATCAAAAGAGGACAGTAAAATGATCTTCAACGCCCACCAGTCTTCTACCACTGCGACCTTTCACGGCAATGGTCGTTGATAAGCGACGATAACGAATAATGTCTCAGGCACCCTTCTACACCGCCTCGCCCACCGCTCGGGCCATCATGCATCATCGAACCCAACGGTCCCTGTTAGCGTCGGCTCACCACTGCAAGACCCAACAGCTGCGCTGCTAACTGTTGCTGCTCCTCATCTCTGCTACATACGTCCAGTTTACCCCTACCCTTTTGCCTTTTGACGAGTGCAACCCTTTTCATCCTTCTCTGGCACTTCTGCACTTTTCGATAGGCTGTCCTCAATCCCCTTGTCTTTGCTCGCAATATCCTGCCCTTCCCCCGCTCTCCACCGCCATGGCGTCACGCAAGAAGGTCTTGCTGAAGGTACATTCTCCTCGACCCATACCGACAGTTAAGCCTCCTGAAATTGCTAAACACTTACTTACATTCTTGGGGGATCCTAGGTGATCATTTTGGGTGACAGTGGTGTTGGCAAAACGAGTTTGATGAACCAATATGTCAGTGGTCTCATTTCGGCGATTTACTGGATACCGTCCAAACCGCTAACCTCCGTCCGATCGGCAGGTCAACAAGAAGTTCAGTGCAAGCTACAAGGCTACCATCGGCGCCGATTTCCTTACAAAAGAGGTGCTCGTAGACGACCGCCTGGTAACAATGCAGGCATGTGTACCACCCATGGCTCGCACATTCGCCAAGGATTGCAATTAACCTGTGGATAGATCTGGGATACTGCGGGTCAAGAGCGCTTTCAGTCTTTAGGTGTTGCATTCTACCGGGGTGCGGATTGCTGTGTTCTGGTATACGACGTGAATAATTCCAAGAGCTTCGAGGCTCTCGACAGTTGGCGCGATGAATTCCTCATCCAAGCGAGCCCTCGCGACCCCGAGAGCTTTCCTTTCGTACGATTCGCCCTTGCCCCTTTCTGATCTCTGATGTGCAAACAAACGGATGTTGACAGGCTGCAGGTTGTAATCGGCAACAAGATTGATGTGGAGGAAAGCAAGCGGATGATTTCTTCGAAACGCGCTATGACTTTCTGCCAATCCAAGGGCAACATCCCTTACTTCGAAACTAGTGCTAAGGAAGCTGTCAACGTGGAGCAGGCTTTCGAGGGTATGTGACCAATTTTCGTATAAACACGTACAGAGAACGCTCTGCTAATATGCTGAAAGTCATCGCCCGAAGCGCCCTGGCTCAAGAAGAAGCAGAGGAGTTCAGCGGCGAATTCAGCGATCCCATCAACATTCACCTCGATAGCGAACGTGACGGGTGTGCCTGTTGATGCGCTTCTGAATGGTCATGCCCTTTGAACGATTTACAGCAACACCTGCTATTGTTGATTGATTCATGTCGTGCGTTTGTGGTTTGTAGAGCTGTTTCTGTCTTCGTTCCATTTGGCGAGCTCGGAGGGATTGTACTTTCTACGATAGTTTGGGATCCATATATACCTTCCAAAGTTCCTCGGTGTACCAAGTTGCCTGTTTCCTATTGTCTGTCGGGTCGCAAGGGGTATCATATGGGTTTCGAGCTTTTTGCCTCTTCTTTTCTTGCTTATCTGTGATAACCTTTTACTTTCTCGAACAGCATACTCAATCAGTCGAGAGTCACGCACATAATCCCGCTGCATATGCTCTTATTTTCTGGTAGCTCCTATCATTTGATCATCAACGAAAGCTAATATCAAATAATGAGATTGGATTTTCAGCGGGGTACTGGTACGTATGTCGAGTAGCAGCCGTGATCACGTCTCGTGCTTATCAGGGCACCGCTCGTGAGGCTTGGCATATATTACCCAGATCTCCATGATCGGAATAAACCCCCGCTTCGAGGCGCTCATGCTGAAACACTGAGCAGGCCATCCGCCATTGACACCGCCTGTTGTCAAATGCGATTTATGGACTCGATTCTCCATCCTAGCATCAGCGCGCAGCGATCTGCAGGATATCGTGCTCCATGATTCATCATCACAAAAATCGGTTCAATCGGTCGGGTACCTTAAATCAATGACCGGCTTCCTCGTCGCTCGTTTCTTCAACTTATCTTTATGAAAAACGTTCTGTTCCTCATAAGTTGTTCAAAACTACAACTTTGCCATGGAGACATATACCTGGCGTGGGCCCAGCTGGACTGGGACCGCAAGACGGTCGCTGGGCATCTGTCTTCTTCTACTCGTAGTGGTTTTGTGGACAGCTTCGAACTTTCTGGCCAGTGTACGTGCATCTCGAGAAGAGACTGGTGAAATGATCCTTTTGGATGCTGTGCATTTGGAGATTCATTATGGCTGTTATCCTACTACACCGCGTGCTAACTGTCCATTTCCTATCCCTTTTAGACCATCTTCGCCGATAATTCGTACTCGAAACCGTTCTTTGTGACCTACATCAACAGCTCCCTGTTCATTGTCCCTCTCTTCTCGATCATCCTGGGCAGATTATTCAAATCATGGCGTCAGGGTAGATTGTCTCAGATCGATTCGTTTCAGAGCCTGCTGCTCCATCTTGATTCCCACGATTCGAAGCCCCAGGCACCCGACATGCTGAATCCCTCCTCTTTGGCGGATAGACAACAGATTGAGGACGAACTTGATGGCTCTGCCAAGCTGGGCTTGAGAGCGACTGCGAATTTGAGCTTCCAATTTTGTCTATTATGGGTAAGGAATCGGCGTGACAAGCATCTTTAATATACAAACTAACAAGTATGGATAGGTCCTTGTAAGTTAACTTCTGCGAACACACCAGCTCTGAGCCGTCGCCTGACTTGTACAGGCAAATTATTTCGCAATGGCCTGCCTGCAATACACAACAGTGGGTAGTACCACCATTCTAACTTCAACTAGCGGTACGTACTCAGCCACTGCACCCAGGCCGATTAATAAATCTGAGGCTAACACATCCTTCCAGGGGTCTGGACACTCATCTTTGGCGCAATGATCGGGGTGGAACGGTTCACCCTCCGCAAACTCGCCGGCGTTATCGCTTCCTTGATCGGAATCATCCTCATCTCTCGCGTAGATCTGTCGTCAACAGACTCCCCGCCCGCAGACGATGGCGGTCCCGGTACCTTCCCCCACAAGACGGCCGCCGAGATCGCCCTCGGCGACGCGATGGCCGCATTCAGCGCAGTCATGTACGGTGTCTACACTATCGTCCTGAAAAGGCAGGTCGGCGATGAGTCGCGGGTCAACATGCAGCTGTTTTTCGGGCTGGTGGGACTCTTCAATATGCTCTTGCTCTGGCCGGGATTCATCATCTTACATGTAACCGGAATCGAGCCGTTCGCTCTCCCTGATACCGGGAGAATATGGACTATAGTGCTGGTAAGAAACACATTGTGACAACAACGTGACCCCGGTGGCGCTATGAACTAACGTTTGCATTCTGCAGGTAAATTCAGTCTCATCACTAGTTTCGGATATATGTTGGGCGTATGCGATGCTCCTGACCACCCCGCTTGTTGTGACCGTCGGGCTGAGTCTGACCATCCCGCTTTCGCTTGTGGGTCAAATCTTCCTGCAGGGGCAGTATGCGAGTGCAATGTACTGGGTTGGTGCCGCTATAGTATTCTTATCATTCCTGGTGGTCAATCATGAGAGTCGGGATGATAAGCTGGAGGCAAGCTCAGCGGCCGGGTATGATGCTGTCCCTGGTGACGAGACAGGCGATATCGCTCGATGAAGAGGTTCCGTATACGGTTTGGGCTAGAACTGAAACCTTTTATGTCCTTCGTACATTGTTATCCTTGATAGACAGAAGACCAATAATGAATTAAATTATTAGACGTCATACAGCCAGGGTGTAACACTAATCAGACACTGATTTCCATCGTCCGTTGCCAATGAAAAAACATGATGAAAGACACAAGCAAGGAAAGTATCAGAAGGAATGAGATCATTATAGTACAGCAAAAGAATTCGAGACTGGTCATCAAGAATTGCCATGAACCCGACAATTTTGAGTGGTCTCAGCCTCCCATGAGAGCAATACAAGAAGGGATGAGAAAAGGAGAAGAAAAGGAAAAGAAAAGCAGCCATCACAAGAAGGGGTATGTGCGCCATGAAACAGAATATAATAGCAGGGAAGAAACGCTGTGTGAACGAGAGACACTAAGATCACTCGAGATCTGCAACGAGTAAGGAAAATGGTCGAAATGAAGGGAGTGAAAATTGGAAATGAGCCAATAGCCAGAATATGTGTTGGCTTGTCCACATCAACAATTTTCATCTATGCTGCTGATGCTCTGGTGCAGGCTCCAACTTCTTGCGCGCAACAAGAATGCTTTTCAAGGAGCCTAACCACTTGGCAAGAGATTCTTCGTCAGGTGCGCATAGTCGATATGATTTGTCTTCAGCGATTATCTGAAGACAAAACTTCTTTGAACGTGAAAGGGGGTCAACTTCGGCAGCTTCGATGACCTGAGACATGGGCAGGATTTTGATAGCGGAGTACTCCTAATCGTCAATGTTAGCTTCTTGTCAAGCCAAACTTGGGATAATCTCGTATAGGGCTATCATACTTGTTCATCCTTATAGAATCCAAGGCTCTTTGGTCTCAAAACGACCCACAGACGCTTCCATTGGCGCACCGTGCCTTTGATTCGAAGGCACTGGAGATAGCCGTTGCAGATAACTCTCTCTGGATCACGGAGGATTCCCATGTCGTAACTGCGACCAACATCTCGCGGTTGGAGTTGTTGTCCACCCACAGGGGCCGAGGTAGACAAATTCTGCAGGGAACGGTTTGGCTTCCTGTGAGTACTGGTGTTGCTTGCAGGTCCGTCAGACCACTCCGAATAGGAAGTAATCTCATTTCCCGAGTGGTCTTGTAAAGAGCCATATTGATTTGAATAGCGGCCCGG